CCGTAACTAAATATAAATAACAACATCTAACTTACGATCAATGTGACCAATGGTAACTTATTAATATTTAGAATGCATGTATAAGAAATTATGTATAATTGAAAACAAAGTGCTAGAGTAAATAAATAAATAAATAATGATAAGAATATCACCGTATGTTACTTAATACTTGTATTCCTATAGTTATATATTATGTTATTATTATATCTTTCAGATTAAAAAGATCGTAATCATCAGGGTTGACTATGTAGCACTACAGATGACATAATGTTATATAGTAGCATTAAACATAGTGGGAAGTACAATTTTCGGTGACAGTGAATGTTATAGCGCATAATTAAAAATTATTGTGGATTGATTATAATATTTATTCCATGACTGTGCTAAATACAAATATCATTCCAATTTTCTTATAATGTTTACATATTTATCTTTATTGACTGTACATAGTTATTTCAGACAAATGGCCCGCCCTAGTATTTATTACCATAATATACATGTAGCTACAAATAGTGACGCAATTTTTAAAACGGTGCAGTGGTTCTAAAGTTTACCTTCCTCATAACAAAGTTCGCTCTATATAATGTAGGTGTAGAAATATGTACAGTACTTTATAAAGTAAGAAAATAAGGTTTTTTACATTTCCCATCATAAAAACGCGATGAACCACAACTCCGTTACTAGACATTTTAATTGTATACTTACTTGCGTCTATATTTTTTCGCGTCAAAATTACAACGATTCAATGTAACTGCCACACGAAATAAGCTATCACGTCTTTGATGTTGTCGTTATGGGATAAGCCATTTCGTTTAACGATCTCATAAATACTCCACAGCCACGGATACCTCTATTAAAATTCCAGTAGACTTATTACTGTAATCAGAGCTAATGCACTGATTATGATTAAGCTAGTGCCATGTGAGCTGGCGTTAATTATACAATGCTCAATGGCCATGGTGGTTATTTGAGAGATTAATGCAATATGTACCTACTTAGTCTTTTATTCGTAGATTTGCATTAGTACTTATTTATAGCATAGTTAAAATAATATTACATAACGTAAGAATATTTCAGTATTATGAAATTAATGTTTCTAAGTAAAAAATAAGCAGCTGAAGAATTTTATTGAACGGGTACTGGTTCAAATTGAAAAATATATTTAGCTTGCTAGCTTTATTGGATAGCTCTTTTTTCGAAAAAGCCTATACGCTACATAACATTACATTAAGACCAGTATGTGAACACAGATTTACTTGCGCAGGTCAAGACACTGTTTAAAAAGTAAATTGTTCATTATTATAATATCTAAGATAATGTAAGCAATAGAATTAATTACCGCTATCAAAATATTAGAGAACAGAATTAAATATATTTATTGTAAAAAAACAATATCATTTTTTTCACAAACGATCAAGTAAATAAAAAAATACTTAACCTAATAATGTTACGTTGCCGGTATATATAATTTTAAAAAGTACCAAAATAATAAAAGTACCTCCCGTGGTAGAAACGTGTGCTAGGACAAGGTAATGGGCCCCACTTGGTTGCTAGTTACTAATAAATACATTTTAATACAAACTCTTGTGTATCTATTACAAATAGATTTATTTGTGGTCAAGCTTAGACATAAATCGAATTAGAAACATTTTCAGTTTCACGTGATTGCGTCGTATGACGACACGATACGAATGACTGCATCAAATTAGGGTTAATTAAGAGAATAAGTATTTACGCTCATACATGCAATCGTTTTGTACACGTAGGAGACATGAACCTTACTGCTGTAGTAATACCTAATATATTTCTGTGACTCCGATGGCTGTGTAGTGCACTCATGTGAGATTCAGCATATTCATGCTATAAATACCAAACTTCCATTTTTAGTCTAAAATCACATTTTGATTTAAACAATATTAGCGACACATTTGAAACCTCTAAATTTATCAGTGTTTCTCTACAATATTATACATGTAATATACAGATAAACCTGCAAACTGTCTTAAATCACTTTATTAAAAACCCGTTGCGTAATTTTAAAGATTTAAGCATACATAGAGACGAATACATAAAGACAGCAACAGCGCATTTGTTTTATACTATGTAGTGGAGTGATGATTACCTCTAACATAAACGAGTACATAGACCAACATATACATAGTGTGTACACCATTCCCAGAAGTATTCACAATTTTAATTTTATTTCATTGTTGTTTACACACTATATCAATATATATATTATGAATGTTTATCTCCAATCGACTCGTAACCAGAATGCTTTTAATAGAACCTATATCGGAAACTCTTAAATAATTTTATCAATTTCCAAAATTCCGATTGTAAATATCTAACTTAACAATTATGATAGAAATGACTACTTGATTTAGTTACAATACTCAATAAATATGTAGCAGAATATTTAAAAAAATGTAATTTCTGATTTTTCAGGGAATAATTTCAATATGGTGTCGGTGTATACCAAAGACAAATCTTCTCATAATATACAACAAATGTACTAACTTAATAATAGAAATAATCGCCTGTGAGTTAAGATATCCTAAAAACCTCTTAATAACCTAACATAACCCACATACATAAACGAAGGTAATCAGTTACTACCTAACTTCTCCATAACTGAATTATCTATAAGACTTCCTCCTAAACACTCATTGCTTATTCTGTCATTCCTTCTCACCATTCCATCTTATTGTAATTAAATATTCCAGAAATAGTATCTTTAAACATAATACAGCAAAGACGTTATTGTGTTCAACAATTCGGCGCCAGAATGTGCCAATTTAAAATGCTATTACGGAATATCACCATCGTATCCTCAATACAGGTACATTGTTGCTTCAAAGAAAGGGCTATCGGCCGGCTATAACTTTGGTCCAATGCTTTATGAGGCCTCACTCTGTCAGCTTCAGTTCCGAGATACTATTTACGTACTCTAGAATGGGATGATGGCATTCCCTCTCGCGCCATATAGCTTGGAGTCATGCAGTAAACTATTTTATTAGTTTAGCCCGCCATTTCCCGTGGATTTGCTCGCATTGTATTTGTGTTCAAATGAGAAAATCTTGTCGTAGTGGGGTTTACAACATAATTATATCAACTAGTAACCAATCTATTTCTATAATTTATTTTTACTATATGTTCAAATCTATTTTTTTTGTATGAACTTTGTTTTTTGTGAGTAATAGACGACGTATTGAACATATATGGATTTATTTATCATTATTATGTTATGATGTTATCGTTGACATTGTCATAACTTAAACTAATTTTAACAACATACAACTTTTAAAATCGTTTTGGCAACAAAAAGGCTCGTTCAAGTTATTTCTTACAACTGTGCAAATGAAAGTCACATTAACTGTGGCAATAAAGTTGCAGATGGAGCACAAAAAGAAAAATATTTGGACGACATGACATCTTACCCAAACCGCGACATTTAGCGGCATTTTGCCGTTTGAAATACGAACATGCCATCTTCAGAGGTATTTTTTCGTAGCGTCATTGTAACTGCAGTTGGCTGTAAGATATTTCTGGGCAGTTAATTAAATTATCAGTAAATGTCTTTTTCTAAACCAAACAAACTCAAAAAATACTTGACCTATTTAAGAAATTCCTTCAATTATAAAAAGTTACATTATCATTGATAATAGTAATATGGCAAACTATGATGTGAACTCTAAATATGAACTTACAATTTAACCTTCCGTGATTATGACCTCATGTAATAGTATCTAATATTGTTTTTTCGTTACAATGTATAACGAATTGAGGTCATAAAATTACTGCAACATCTAAATTAAAGCAATAAAGACTACTATAAAGTGCAAGATACAATTGGTTGTAATACTTAAGCACTTTAGGTATCAACGTAAAGATGGAAACAGTATCAAATTAAAAGAAAAGCTGACATCTAAACCACCGATGAACTGACAAACGAAATTAATGAGGCCACCGAAACATACATTATTTCATGCCTAAAAAGTCTGTAAAAGACGTGAAAAGGTGACAAGAAGATAAACATACTGATACACACATAGTCGCATTAATTAGTATGATAATACCATATGATGTATTAAGATTTAAGTTATTTTATAAGCCTATCAATACCTACCATAGACTACATATGAACATTCATCCACACTTAGCCACAATCTCAGTGTTCGAAAATATTTTATCCAATGGCTTTCCATACACTAAGTAAATATTTATGAACTATTAATTTTAACGCAATAGGGAAGTGAGGGCATTCGGGTTTCGTACTTCCCGACAGGCGGCTTATTGTGGATATTTTTCTGGCTTATTGTGCGAAATTGCTGCCATTTACCTCTTTATTCCTAAAAGAGCTCAGTTAAGTGCGTACTCGAGGAGGCTACGGATTTTGAGTAATAGTCTCATTGAGCTTCCGACCAGAGTACTTGACTTTTATGAAGACTTTCAAACTTTAAAATATAGTAATATAGCTAAGAACAATATATTTTTATATTTTTGTACACAAATGACAACCTATAATTTTCTCACTGCTGAGTGCATTGGTTATTTTTTTTTTATTTACATATATTAAATGCTCCGCAATTTTCCACTTCGAAACTTGAAAGCAAGATAGTATTAAATAATATAAAACTAGGTATAGAATAGGTATATGTAGCACTTAGACTACTTAGGAAATCCGAGCTACCCTTTGATAGTAGACATTTTAAAAGAAAAAACCTTAAATTCTAAAAAGTTTGGATCACCTTTACCTATCTGATCACAAAGTTTTATAAGCTATTAAGAGTTAGATGAAAATCGCAGGTGCGGTAAGATTAAACAACGTAGGTATGAGATCATGTGCAATCGTCTCAATTCTCTCTTCATTGGGTAATTGGACCTACCTATTTACGTGTATCTTACTTTGTCCGTTCACTCCTACGTGTAACTATTCAATGACAATATTTGATTATTCGTGTACTAATGTATTTATGGCAATTTTTCCTTTATTACAGGTTCTATTGGGACCTCTGTATGTTACTACTCCTCGTGGCAAACCTAATCATCCTGCCAGTTGCTATATCATTTTTCAACGATGACCTCAGCACGCATTGGATCGCCTTCAACTGTCTTTCAGACACCATATTTCTTATAGATATCGTTGTTAATTTTAGAACAGGTCAGTATCCAAATTTTATATAAATTGTAATACTTCTGTCATTATCTCAATAATATTATTTAATTTATAATGATTTAATTATTTCATATAGTAATATCTATCTCTTGCAGGAATAATGCAGCAAGATAATGCCGAACAAGTGATATTAGATCCCAAGTTAATAGCGAAACACTATTTGAGGACATGGTTCTTCCTTGACCTCATCTCTAGTATACCACTAGATTATATATTTTTGATCTTCAATCAGGTAAACGTACGTTGCAATTTGGCCGTGTTGTACTTATTACTAGTTTAAAACCTGTCTTTTATGTTATTGATTCTGTTTCAGCTTGGGTGTTCATTTATTTAATAGGCAATTTTTTTGTGATTATTTTCGTATTTTTTGTTTCTCATTGTGAAATCTTGTCCAACTGCCACGAGAACCTACGTCATCGTGTTCGGTTTATGTCTCGTATATTAAGGGTCTAAGAAACATGTAAAGGTTTGATTTAAGCACACTAGTCTCATTCTTCATTGAAATGTCGTTCAATTAATTTATCTAATATATTATTTTAATCACTTTCTGTCCGATTTGCACGTTTAACATCATTAGTAACCCATATGATGCCTCAACATTAACCAAAAGCATAATATATCGTCGAATATTGACTACATGGATGTTTTTCAATCGTATGGGATACTTCCGCTCTTAAAGTTTATATACTTTTATTAAGCACTTTACGACTTTGTGCACTTGAGCTCTTCGATTTTTCCTTCAATTATTGCACTCTTAATATTTAAAACTGCAATTTCTATATCAAATATTCTTCCTGTTTGGCATTATGCACGTTTTTTTATTGACTTCCTTTATATTTTTTTAATTTTCTCCAATATCACAGCATGATTACTAGTTACGCTTTTGTAACGTATTAATTTCATATTGAGATACAATTTTGTTTCAAAATTCAAACTATTCTTATCAATAAAACATTATTTCTTGGGTTTTTATTTAACAACACGACCAAATTGTAATACTTTTTGTTTCTAACCATTCACACTAACAGAACAAGACAAAGAATAGAGATTCAGAAAGCAGGAGCAACGATGCTTGATTTTAGAAGCACGGGCTTATTAAAAAGCCCCGAGATTATACAAGAAGCTTTCACCGATAATGAATGTTTACAATATACCACTGAAAACTTTTAATGTAAATTAACAAAACATAATTATAACATGTTTATTGTTATGCTTCAGCACTTTTCTTTGGCTGAGACTTAAAAATCTTTCAATATCAGCAAGTGTGCATGTCAATCTTACACTTCAACTGTATAAAGAAAATCGGCGTTTTCTCTCGGTGCTCTGAAATCTCTTTAGAGTATCGTCGGGTTTTATATTTCGATTAACTTATTATTTGTATCAACAGGATTTTAGTGACAGCTTTCAAATCCTTCACGCGGGTCGTGCTCTAAGGATACTGCGGTTAGCGAAGTTGCTGTCACTGGTGCGGTTACTACGGCTCTCAAGGCTCGTCAGATATGTTTCACAATGGGAGGAAGTATATGTAAGCCATTATGTCTTCTAACCCACCTTTTTGGGTTACTTAACCAATATACCCACTAACACTGCTCTAACACATTACGCTCACATTTACTAACACGACATGACTAAATATGCTACTAAAATTATATTATGATATTGGATTAAACGTTGTGATAAATAATGTGTAACAATAAAACCAAATGTTAAATAGTAAATACATCGTTAAATTCTAGATTGGTTCAAGAAAAATGAAAATTTAAATATTCAAGAATAAATGATAATATAATGAATACCTAATGTTAAATTGTTCTAGAGAGTAGTGGTCCTAATGACGTACATATATGGAGTTTTGTTGTAATCCTGTATTATACCATTGATCCCGCCCTTCACTGTATGTGAGCCCAACGTCCCGCTCTGCACTTCTCTACTGCTTCTCTGCAAGCTTCTTTCTGCCTAAGCACGCTCTCACTCGTGACGTCTGATTCTGTCTCTTCTTTATGCGCCAGCGTCGCGAACATCGCGTCCGCCGACCCGAACCGTCCCACATTAACCAACATGATATATTATTTGCGAAATTGTTCATATTATTTTGCCGCTTTTACAAAGCCTCTAGAGTTGATGCGCTGACGCCAAATTTAACGCTAAAATCCTTTTAAAATTGAATATCTAAACGCGACAAAATAAACCCATAAATCAAAACTTACCGTGAAAATCAATTTAATCATTCCCGTGATTTATGACCACTAAACGCAAATAATAATAATAAATAAAATATATACTCGGAAAAAGACTAGAAATCAAATCAATATCTATGCGAAAATTGCTACTGTACGTAGTATTGAACGAATAACTCGAATTTGCAAAATGGAGAGTAGCATATACTTAATAAGTATACCTGAGAAACATTAACGGAGCGGAGAGTCAGTGAGAAGTGGAGTACGGGGAGGGTGATGGTGGCGACATCGCAGTGACGGTGTTGTGTGCAGATGAGCCCCGCTCCGCAGCCGCGCGACGAGCCGAGCGAAGCGGACAGCGGAAGCTCGCGCGACCTCGCCTCGCAGGTGCTGCTCTGCCGCATGACCGTCCGTGTCCACCAGTGCTTAGTGTAGGGGCTTAGCCCGCGCCTAGTCCCGCTCGTCTCGGTGTTAGTGCATCCTGTGTGTGCCCGCACGCGCCCTAAATCCGCTCCGCGCCCCGCACACCCGCGAAGACCTTCGCCCGCCGATCCCGTCCGCGCTCCGGGCGCGCCTGGCTCTCTTCCTACTATCTCGTGTTTCTCGCTTGTTTTCTAGATCTTGCAGAATCTTCAAAAAAAGCGCACGGAACGAAGGGGACGTCTCAGCTCCGACGTTGCCAAAAAGAAGGGTGACACCAAAAGCAATCTGATTTTTAAGGTAATCAGGGTCGGCACGAGCCGGCGCGCATGTGCTCGTTCGCCCGCTTAGCATGTCGCCGGCGCCGCCCGGCATTCTTAGATCGCAACGTTCGCTTCGCTTCCTCTCTTTCTTTGACATTTCTGTTTCCGTCCCTCGTCCCGCCGGCGGCCGCGCGGGCGGAGGCGCGCGAGGCGGCAGGGTCGCGCGACCGCGCGGCGGCCGCGGCCGCGCGACCTCTCGCCGCGCCACCCACCACGCATGCTCGCTCGATGACTCGTCTCACGCGTTCATATTTTATTTCTCACTACTTTACGAATCCATCGGTAGAAAATCATCGCGATGCTTGACCTCGAGCGTCCTTGTCGCGCGCAGTCCGCACGGCTTCCTTTAGAGACAACAACTACGCCTCTAGCCGATATTGATCATTATCATTGTCTGTCCACAGTTCCTCAACATGGCATCAGTGTTTATGCGGATATTCAACTTGATCTGCATGATGTTATTAATCGGCCATTGGTCTGGCTGTCTTCAGTTCCTCGTTCCTATGCTACAAGGATTTCCATCAAATTCTTGGGTCGCAATAAATGAGCTAGAGGTTGGTATCGATCCTTACTAATATAATATACCGGTCGTATCAAATATAAGCTAAATACCCACCCTTTGTATTTGGCTTGCATTTGTATTTACCGGGAATTATATTGAAAAGAAAAACGTATGATTAATATACCGACACCTAACAGAAGAGGGAGAAGAACAGGAACATTATGATATGTCACTTTCCGATTAATATACTAAAAGCAAACACACTGGAGACAAATCTAATGTTAAGTAAGTATATGGCAATTGTCGCCTACTCGTATATAGGCGACAATGCACGAGTAACTATATATGAACAGCAGAATTGCACCACGGAAATCACAACATGGGTAGTGATCAGGTGCAAAAATGGCTAGTATTAAAATCAATAAATTTGTTAAATGTAATCATATGCCATCCCCTAGTTGTAAAACATGAATTACTTTAATCTAAAGCTTATGGTAGCTGACTACTGTCAAAATGTATTGTTTTGTTAGTGTAAGAGTATACAGCTATTTAAATTATGGTAAGTGGTTTAGATGGTATAACGGACAGATGGCAGTCATATATGCCGGTTAAAATCATATCCCTCCTTGTCTCACCATAAAAACATAATTAAACAATTTAAACCATAGATACTTATGAACTTTTCAGGAGGCATCCTGGCTGGAGCAGTATTCGTGGGCATTGTTCAAAGCGATGTCCCATATGTTGTGCATCGGTTATGGCCGGTTCCCGCCACAGTCCCTCACCGACATGTGGCTCACTATGCTCTCCATGATCTCAGGGGCAACGTGTTACGCGCTCTTCCTTGGTCACGCCACCAATCTCATCCAGAGTCTTGATTCCTCGCGCAGACAATATCGAGAAAAGGTATTTATCATTATAATTGTCTGCTCACAACATTAAAAACTGTATTTTTTTTTTAAATATATATATACTGTTACTACTATTTTAGTAAAATAATATTTCAGTAACTTAAAAATGTTTTGAAATGAGTAAACCGTTATGAACACCACAAGGCAATTCTTTAAAATTAATTCGATAAACATGCGTAATACTCGGTGTATTACGCATATTCTGATATTAATTTAAGTGGTAATCTCCTTCTATATAAGATTTAGATAATCAATGTTAACTTCCCACACGCATGTTTCTCCGACTCCATACCATTGTAGTTCATGTAATGATCGAACACTAAAATCTTCATTGCCTGTTTCAGAGATTAGACGTGAGTATAGAACGAATGTGTGTCCGAGTGTTGTACTATTGTACATGATCAAATCATTATCATCCGCACCAAACTTCATTTGTTTACTTCACTTAGTTTAACAGGTGTTCATAACAGTTTCCTACTCATAAAAGGCACTAACAAATACATTGTGTGTTTTGGATTTAGGAATTCATTAAATTGATGTACAATGTAGACGGGATCATATTATATTGATAGATTTTTTTATCCTTTTTTCTAACATAAATTGCATGAAGAGATTTGCAGTGTTTTGGATTTTTACATAGCCTATGGGTAAATTAATGCAGTTTCAATGTTATTATTTTGTTCAAACCACTAATACTTGCTTTTATGGCATCGCGAAAAATACGGATTGCTTCTATATTCCTGATACATAACCTATATACTATATTGTGTTTTTTACAAACACCTTTAAAACAATTTTATTGTTAACTGTCTAAAAAGTATCACAAATAAAAAACAAATCAAGTCGATCTATTATTGAAAATCATAAAATTCAAGTCCTTCTAATTTATAGTGACTACTAGTTGAAGATAAAAAAATTTATCGCATTGTACTATGAAGTTTTTAATATGCGACCACCCAATCAATATCATGTATCTATATTAAGATTAGTATTTCAACAAAACTATTTTAAGAAAAATTATGAATTTCTAGGTGAAACAAGTGGAGGAGTACATGGCATATCGTAAATTGCCTCGCGAAATGCGACAACGCATCACTGAATACTTCGAGCACCGGTACCAGGGCAAGTTCTTCGATGAAGAGCTAATTCTGGGTGAACTGAGCGAGAAACTTAGAGAGGACGTTATTAACTACAACTGCCGCTCGCTCGTGGCTTCAGTGCCGTTCTTTGCAAACGCAGACTCTAACTTCGTGTCTGACGTTGTCACTAAACTACGTTACGAAGTCTTCCAGCCAGGTACTTGATACAATTACAGTTTCTAAAAAGGTAAATTTATTGTGAAGTACAATTAGTAAGTCAGTGTGTTGTTTTGTTTACTGAAATTATTAAAAGATGGTGAATAAAAATCATCCCTTAATCCATCCCTCAGGGGCTGAGGGATGGATTAAGGGATGATTTTGTTATTGTCCTTAACAAGAATGATTGCTAAAGAATCCTAAAACTCTTTGATACCATTTTAGAACCGTGATTTAATGAAATCTAATAGAAAGCCGTAACAGACTGCCCACAAAGTTTAGATATAAAACTTCGTATTTGGCACGTTAATTAAGTACGGAAAGATCATAGGGTAATCTTACAAATTTGAACACTATAGTCATACTAAGCCAGAGACAGATTTGGTAACTAGTATAGTTGTAGTCTAGTTAATGTAAGAGACCAATCACTAACATTAAAAATTATATTTCTTTCAGGCGATATCATCATAAAAGAAGGGACCATTGGAAACAAAATGTACTTCATTCAAGAAGGTATTGTGGATATAGTAATGGCGAATGGTGAAGTAGCTACCAGTCTCTCCGATGGTTCCTACTTTGGCGAGATTTGCCTGTTGACTAACGCTCGCCGAGTAGCTTCCGTCCGCGCGGAGACCTACTGTAACCTATTCTCATTGTCCGTGGACCACTTCAATGCTGTGCTCGATCAGTACCCGCTAATGAGACGAACAATGGAGAGTGTCGCAGCGGAGCGGTTGAACAAGATCGGCAAAAACCCCAACTTGGTGGCGCATCGCGAAGATGACACCACCTCTGAAGGCAACACGATAAACGCGGTGGTGAACGCGTTAGCTGCGGAAGCGGAGCATGTCAGCTTATCGGACGACAGCGTAGCGCGCCTGTCGGAGCGGTCGTTGGGGCTGGCGCTGCAGCCACTACAGGCGGCGTCGTGCCGCATGGCGGGCGTGGCGCTACCAGGGCTGGGCGTGGCCGCGGCTGCGCTGCCGCGTCCCAAGTCAGAGCACGACTTCAGCTCAGCGCAAGCACAGCACCCGCCCCTATCGGCCGCCGGTGCCGCCTTCCATAAGTCGGACGCGGGCATCGCGCCCTGACGCCGCACCCTGTGCTAGGCCCGGAGAGTCCGGAGGCCGACGCCGACGATAGCAATACTAGGCTTAGTGCGAGCCGCCGCGCCGCGCCTCGCTAGTTGTAGCGTAGACACGAGTATTATAGCTGCGACTTCGCCGGGCGCGCCCGCATCGCGCCGCCCGCTGAATCTCATTTTGTGATCTTATACTTAATTCTCCTGTGTTATAATTTAGGTTAAATTTTATATCATTGACGCTGTGAGGAATCGACGAATACGCGACGTATTCCGATTGTTTAGATATACCTGTTATATATTGAAGAATGATACTATTGAATCTTTATAGAGATACCTTGCCATTAAAGAAAAAATAATTATATAGACTAGACTGAAATGTAAAGATATCACTATTTTATGCTTTGTTGGCGTATGAAATAGACCTCTATTGTTAAAGCGGAATATTTGATCGCGAAATATGAACCTTCGAAGTGTATAAACGTTCCTGATAATTAATCATGATGAATCGGAGATGTTATAATTTGAAGTTATTTATAAAAAGGTCGTGAAAGATCGTAAAGCACGGCGCGTATTTGCATAGCATTGTAGGCGCACCGTGATAAGTTGTTACTATTTACATCTTGTTAGGCGAATGTTAGACATAAGAATAAAAACTCATCATAATATAGGTATTCAATTGAGAGATGAACTGTTAAATCTTTAGCTCGAGGAGACTGTAACTTTTTACACATGTATGTAGCGCGTGAGTGCGCGTACAGTGCTAACGCAGATATGCGCGCGCGCTCCGTGGACTGCACAAGCGACGCACAACTGAATGAGCCTCACGCGCGTTTCCAATAGCACAAAGTTGCTTTATTCATTTTAATTATAAGTAGTCATATCTACCGATAATCGACATAATTAGCGCAAACAGTTTTCTCGGTTTCCTAAGTAGAGGTGGATCAGTAGCGCTTCGAATCTTTTGAGAGTCATTTCTTTGTGTAAATATTGTAATATCGAGGATTCGCCTAGCGCGGTCGTTTGATGGAAGTGTAAGCGGGCGCTCGTCCGTTCGCGCGAGCGTCGCGCGGTCCAGTCAATTATTCCGTGCGCGACGAGACCCAACGTCTCGGCACTCGATGCACCACTACACTTCATACTTTGTTTTAATTGTAGGTGAAAATAATTTATTGTCGATAGTAATCATTTCGTAGAATAAGTAGGCCGGAGCGTTAACAAATTCGGACGAATTACGTTATGTGATAGAGCAGTGATTGCCTGCGCGCGCGCCGCTCGCCCGCCGGCTCGGCGACAACTCTCTGTAGATTGTAGATGAACTGTGCATGAAGACAACGACATGCTTCACTTTATTCCATCTCAATTTATTGTCTCTTGATTCTTCATTCCACGATAGCCGTCTTAGTTGACTCAAACTATTGGGTATCACGCAACCGCTTACAAAGTTTTTACATAATAATTTTAAGTTAGACTTTTTTTAACTAGATACCTAATTATGATACATTACAAATTTCTATCTTAGCATTGTTGAAGTGAGCTTCGTCGCCGAGCCGACTGCCGCGCGGTTCTGTTTTGGCACGAATCATCGTTGACTATTTCTTATAGTGTCATGACAATTTGTGAAGATGGTTTTGCAAATGTTGACTTTTTAGCCAAAATATAGTTAATGAACGACGAACCAATACGCAGTAGCTTACTTGTAGATGAACGCAGCCTAGTACTCAGTTTGGCGACTAACACCAATAGTTACTTTGTACTGATAAGATATTTATATACAATTGGTCTTAGCAGAGTGACTATCTGTCAATTTATCTTATAAAGAGAAAATATAATTGCGTTAAGCTCTAAAGCATTTATTTACTCTTGTTTTACGTATCTAACATTATCGCTTTTGTAAATTATATAAATTTTATAGAAGAGATCTATTTTTATTGTGAAGTTGATCTACTGGATGTAAGTAAAATGAAATCAAGAGTTCTTTTTTAATCTGGACTGTTATTTATTAAATATTTTACTGATTTCTGGTATCTATTTTCACCAAAAGTGCTCATCGCTGTCAAGAAAATTAGAAAAATGCATTAAAGAATGAAGAAAACTGCATATTTGTTTTACTTAATCTTAATTAAACCTATAATTGGCAATAGTAAACAAGCTGTCAGCTCACGTAATGGAAAATAGTAACCGACACACACACACACACTCTGTAAAAAACACTACTATACATATATCACCTGATATACTCACTATTATGAGTAACAATAGCATTGCACATATCCCGTAATAATACCTACCCCCAATAGTATACGTATGTATATGTGTGTATCTCATCGCCGAAACCAACTACCCACAAGCATACTATTTAAAAACTATGTAGGAATAAATAATTACCCACATGAATATAATGGTTGGTTTAGTACAGTTATTTCGATGACTCAATGTTTCAAATTGAAATAAAAAGTCTTGTGTCAAAATGAATATTTTTATTGCTGTTATAAGTCAAGTAACATCTACTGGATTGGTGACATGACTGAAAAGTGTATGTTATCTGTAATACTATACATTTTTATCTAGTGGTCTAAATGTAGGTAAATATTGAGGACAATTTTTTAAAAGCATCCGGTACATCTGATGGTATATGGTTAGTGGTTACCGTAGCCTAAGGACGCCTGAGACACCAAGGATGTCATGTATGCCTTAACGACCCTTAAGAAACCTTAATATACCCTTCTTGAAGAACCTCATGTCTCGTGAGAAAATAATCTAAGTGTATGCGGGAGGATCCTCTGAAACCGCACTGTCCGAGACTACTTAGGTTCTAGCGTGTAGGGATGAATTCCCTATCGACGGCGAACGGTGTGCTGGTAAAAGGTAGCCTTAACACGTTCACGCCGGCGCGTGCCACCGGTGGCCCACACTAGATTGTCTCATTGGACGGCGCGTACCACCGGTGGCCCGCCAAATGAAGCGCAGCATCAATTAGAGCGCTGCGCGCAGCAAACGACATTAAAGTCAGCCCCGGTGTGAACGTGTTAAGCATCATGTCGTATAATATCTCAGAACGTCAGAACATTCTATATTCGGTAGAACAGACACAACGAAGCGAACGCATAAACCATTTAGAATCACTTGCCAATGTAGTCTAAAAACCGCTTACAATCAATTCATATTACAAAAATGCATAGGCCAAAAGTAAGCGAAATATATTACTACATACTATAAAAAAATGATTACGACGACTCTATAAAGTCAACCATATTATAATATTAATCATAATAAATCTGTTACTTACTTCAAAAAAAAATTTATATAATATGGTAACTATGTGGTATATCTGTGTAACTGTATAAAAAAGACAGAATACTTTACTAGTTTACTACCATTAGACAAAGAGCACAATAATTACATAGGAATGAAATGGAAAGCTATGAGGTGTCATACCATAACTGAAAATTATTCAGTTATAAAAATAAAATATTGAAATCCTTTTTTAAAATGGAAGGATGGTTATCTAGTCGTCTTTACTAATACCAAGGAACATAATACTCTAAAGAGACTAATACATAATACATACATGACATCAATGTTAATGCCATACAGAAGATATCAATGTCAAAGTAAAATGTCAGTGTAGGCATGCCTATTATCTCAATCTGTGCCCGACTACTGTCTTTGATCTGTGATTAGTGCTTAACCTGTGCTCTGGTGTGTGTGCCAATGTGTCAAACTTGGTCAACGTGTTTTTGTTGCTTTTCTAAATATCTCATTAATTTAGGCCAGAAACATGTATAAATTTATAATTACGCCATCACAGCATCACTATTTAGTTCATTTACTATGACTTATCTTATTAAATAATGTGACAACTGATTTCTCTCGTGTGAAACATCACTGAAAACTCATATCACCATGTCCACGAGAAGAGCACGGATAAAAGCTGTGACTTCCTTACCGCCCAGAAGAAAAAATGCTGATACTGCTGATAAAAATAAACAGGAAGTAGAGAAAACTATAAAAAGTCCAAGAACTCCTCGTTCATCTAATAAAAATAACGAAAATTTACAGAAAACATCTCCTGGACCTAAACCACTGCCTCCTTTATTGCCTCTTCAGGCCGTGTCACCAAAACTAGTAAATACATCTTCACCTCAAAATAAGACAACCAAGGCGTCTACACCTACTGTATTAAAAATTATTAAGTTTCCTGATAAAGTTCCAGTTATTACTACTACATCTGCATTCAAAGCTAATGTTTTTGCATCGCCCCAAGCAGTAAAGAGCAGCCCCGATAGAAAACATATTGCATCACTTATAATACCCTCACCAAAAAGAAATATTCATAGACCGACTGTATCACAATTAGAAAAACTAGATAAAGATGTTTGTGATAGTGGTAGTGAAGACTTCCAGAGAGAGAACAGGTCAGAAAGTGATAATGTTGCATCAGGACTAGGGGAGAACAAGAGTGATGTACCAGATGGTAAAAAGTTATTTGATTACTAAAAATTAAGATTTAGTTCATCCACTCCAGCAAAGAAAACAAAATTGTAAAGTCATACCGATTAGTCTCTGTTTGTTTGTTACTTTTTCATCTTAATATTTTTTTATACTATGACTAGCTGCCCCAGCAAATCTTATTTAGCTATAAAAATTTAAGTACTAATATTGCTTTTAAAAAATAGGTGTTGATTATAGAAGCATAACAGCTGATGTGTATAAAATGTTATTTACAAATAATAATGATAAATATATCTTCTACATCTAAATGTACTTATTCATCAGTCTATCAACTATATTTTATTTTATGGATGAATCTCGAATAGCTCTAAACATTTCCATTTTGAGCCTGGGACTGTTAGTTATTTTTATTTTATTTCTAGTATTATTATTTATTATTATAATTAAGGTATTTTAAATGCTTACTAACAAGTATGGCCATCTCCAATATATCTGTGGTAAGGGATTTCTTTTTTCCTTCATGTTACATTTAATGCACCTCATGTATGCTATTACACACATGCATTTCTTTACATTATATTTTTTTTTATTCATATTCATTATCCATATTTTCAATATATTTTGGCTTTGTAACATACATTTATATGAAAATATATAAATTTATTATTATTATATTCATTATAGGAATCATCTATGCTAGAGGCATGGAGGTTAATTTGTTAGGATAAGCTAATAATGGAATAGATTAGAATAAAAAATTATTTGTTGAAATAATCTTAAATTGAAGTATTTTCAATATTTTCAATGGAGCCACTTGCCCTACAATATTTATTAAATTATATTTCACTTTACAGATTATAGTGTGCCCAGTGTACCAGAAAGTGTCACAGATGAAGCTGTCATGGATGGTATTGTTCCCTTGCAGCCCACCCGCAGTGCACCAAAGCCTATAGATTTGTTGAAAAACGAAATTATATCGGAAGACGCAAAGGTCCTTTTTGATCCCATTGTGCCTCTGCCTTCCCCAAGCAAAGTGAGACCTAAACTCCGTCCTGTACCAAGATTAGGTCCACATAGAAGAAACAGTATCCAGGTATACTTCAAACTATATTTATAATGCATTATACTGTTATGCTAAATGAGTTGGCCATAAATTGTTAACAGTCTGCCAGATTCGTAGCTAGAACCTTTCAGTCTAAGTTTGGCTGTAAACCGCTAGGACTCAGTACCATCACTTACTAGTAACATAATTTTTGCTAATGTATTAATTGTGTGATAATAATGTCCAAGTGCTACTAATCTATTTTTGTTTATTATTTTTTTTTGGTAACAATTTAGATTTAGTTTTTTTATTGTATTTTATACATTGGTGTTATGTTTCTTTTCTTTAAGACATTTATTTTTGTAATGCCATTCTTTGTATTATGTGTTTTCTCTTGTAGTTCAACTGAATACATATTTACTTTAGCAGGGAACTTTTAGCCATTAAATACAGTCCTCCATCACAATAATCATCTACTACACAGATTTTCAAAGATATATCTATATTAATTAATAAGTCTATACACTTAAAGAAACTCACATAGTATAAACCACATATTGTGACTATTTTAAGCCTGGCATTGATAGTAGTGAAATTGATAATAAACATAGGAATTTTAAACAGGGTAGTGCTAGTGAATCTGAAGATGAAACTCGTAGAGCACTCCTGGGCAGCGGCAGTGTGACGCCAGCTCCGCCGCGGCAGCGCCACGACTCGCACACATCGCACATCACACTGCAATCATTAGTCAGCAGGTAAGAGTAATCTTACAATACAGATACAGACATCGCTATTGATTATAATATAATAAATATAATAATATAAAGCAATTTTCTGCAAAGAATTCTGCAGTGTTACTTCCGCTACCGCTAAACCGCCAAGGCTCGACTAAAATATGCTTACTACTATGTTCACTTTATAATAAACTAGCTGTACCCGCGACTTCGTCCGCGTAAAATAGTGACCTTAACCAAATAATAAAATATATATATTAATAATCTAACCCAATAAAAAAGATTCTCTCTAGCTCCAAAAATGAAAATTTCATTATGGCTGAGTCCTGTGAAGGTAGGTACTAATATTTTCTCAACAGCCTAAAAAATAAGTTTCAAGCTTCTAGCTTTAAAAATGTCAATACTTGCATACCATATTTCACCTTTTGACCCTTACAACCCATTTTCGTTAATTATATTTAATCAATACGCAAAAAATAAGATTCAAATTTCAACCTTTAAAAATGACGATACTTCTATATAACCTCCTCTTTCAATCTCTTATAACCCTTTTTCGGATTAAAAAGTAACCTATGTCCTTTCTCAGGATCTAGATTTTAAACTTCATTTAAATCAGTACAGTAATTTTGGCATTTAAGTGAGACAGACAGACAGAGTTACTTTCACTATCGTAATATTAGTAAGGTATTTATTAAACTGACCAACTGACAAAAAAGCGAATGAAAACAGTTTCATCGTTCTAGCTTCAAATATGACGAATTTCCATAAAAACTATTATCTGCTATTTAACTTTATTGATAACATTTTTATAAATTTAAATGTCATATTTATTTATATTTAATGTATAGTCTAAAAATTTCTTTAACTTTTTTGTAAATTGGTGGTCCAGTTGGCCAATAACATAATAAAAATTTGTTAAATCAAAATAATAGATGTGATATTCTAAATTGCAAACATCCCTCTACTTGCGCAAACCATACTTTGACTCTACTGGCCAGAAGGGAGAAACGCGTATTCCAACCCTGAATAGCTCGGATGGAACGGTAGATGTTGTTTCTTCCATAAATGTTGTTCATATGTATAGACAACTTCATTCTTAATATTATATATTGTTTTAATCTTCAAAAATATTAATAATATGTGATTACGATCTTGTCCAAGAGCAGGGTCATCAGTTATAGCCCGTACCAGGATTATATTTATGTATTTATAAAATAATATTGCAGAGCAAACGATTATACATTTAAATTTATAAGGAGACAACGGATTGACAATAATCAGTTGCTCGCGCAACTTCGCTCGCGCTGCTTATACAAATGACATTTATGTTTATTTATGTCGCATATCTAGTACAATATTGGTGTAATTCAGAAATTAAAAATTTTTAAAGTTAGACTTAATACCACAGTTATAAAGTAGACTTTCCAAAATTTCTAATTTTTTAGTTAAGCCAGTATTATACTATGTGTGTATTAAACCGCATAAAGATAACCTTGTATTTCCATTTTCAACCCCTTACAACCCTTTTTTCGCATTAAAAAGTAGCCTATGTCCTTCCTCGGCGTATAGACTATCTGCGTACCAAATTTCATTTAAATCGGTTCAGTAGTTTTGGCGTGAAAGCGAGACAGACAGACAGACAGACAGACAGAGTTACTTTCGCATTTATAATATTAGTAAGGATTGTGGACTATTTGACTTTAAGGAAAGTAGAGTGATCTTTATTGCCATCTCTCAGATAACCCGTAAATCGACAAATGATTGGTCAGGAAGCTCCAAGCACAATTTTTTTTTTTTGTAAAATACCAGTTTGTGCATATATTTTTATAAGTATCAAGGAGGATAAAGTAGCAATGTCCACCAGTGCACCTAATATATCTATTTATAAAAATGAAAATAAATACAATATAATTTGTATGAGCTACCAGAAAAGTGAAATATAAACTGGATATTAAAAGAATTATATCTTCTTGAATTGTATAAATGTTGTAATGAAAACTATTTTTTATATAAATTAATCTGCATCGGGCAGCTTTATCCTATATAATTTATATAACATCCTATATAACATTAAACTACCTTATTTATTTATATTTATCTGGTATTTTATTATTTGTGGTATTAAATCTGTCTTCCCGTTTAATTGGATTGAGTTACATTTTTTTTATGTAAACGGAATGACAAGTAGTAAGCTGGATGGCCCTCCTGTTAAGCGGTAATCGTTGCTTATATGTATATATATATATATATATATATATATATATATATATATATATATATATATGTGATGCTTCATTCCAGAGAAGTAAGATGTCATGTCTCTCTAATATCTCTCCTGTAATATCACTGTCTGATGTGCACCCTACATCCGAAACCAAGTAGAGTAGAAAGCATGCTACTTGACTCCTTAAAACGGTGGATTTCACGTACCCACAGAGACGACTTTTTAGTCTATATACCTATTGTGATACAGCTCTGACATGACATGCCAAGATTCAATTTAATTTATATAACACAGTGTCCAATATAGGTACTTAAATTAAAATGTCGATTAATTCGTCATGTCTCATTAACTGTTTACATATAAAATACATTATTGTGTACATTGGAAATATTGTTTCAGAGACGTAAGCAGAGTACGTAATGACTCTGTTTGCTCAAGTGTGAGTGTCGCGACAGTACCACCGACGACGGCAGCCTCGCCTACCAAGGAGAAGCACATATCCAAGTTAGAGTTCATGAGTATTATAATATTAAAAACTTTGTATTTACGTTTTACGAAAATTGCGCAGATGGAGGACTATGAAATTTCGCGCACTTGTAGTTTATATTTTTCTATTTTTTTGTTTATTTTGGCGGCAATTCAAAATTTAATTTGAATTGTATTTTGTTCTAAATGGGCAAAAATAAAAGCTGTGACGCGTCAACTAGGCAAATAATTGTAAATTTACATGTAGATCATAAATGGGCGTACAGAAGAATAGCTGAGCATTTAAATTGTTCTATTAGAAAGTTTTTAATGCAATGGATTATTATAATAAGCACATGGCTATCATGATACTATTCAAAATGTTCTCAGAGAGGCTCAACCAAAAAAATCCTCTCCCAGAGAAGCTATGCTAATCGTCCGTGTTACTAAAAAAGATCGATTTAAAGACTCCAACCATATTTAAAAATGAAGTTCTTTTGCCTGATGACCCGAGAAACATCTCGTCAAGACTGATACGCCAATGATTAGTAGAAGCTACATTGTTTAAAAGAACCTATCAAAAGGTACCGCTTCTTACCAAGCAATACCGAGAGAAGAGATTATTATTCGCTAAAAAATATGGTAATTGGAATGGAAAAAAGTGTTATTTTCAGATGAAACGATAATAAATATGGTAAATTCCGATGGAAAGTGCTATGTTAGACATCCTGTAAAACAATGCTTTTAATTATAAATACACAGGAGTATTGTCAAGCACGGTGGCGGTAATATTAAAGTTTGAGGATGTTTTTCCGAATATGGAGTTGAGTCCAACTGGATATTCGGAAAAACATCCTCAGATTCTTCGGAAGATTGAAGATATAATAATCAATGTCAACATAAAAATATGTTAAAGTACACAATGATTCTCTACTCGGACGATCATTTGCCTGTAAACTGGATCTTTCAGCATGAGAATGACCCTAAACACACGGCTAATAGCGCCAAATGTTTCCGTAGCGCAGAGTATATCCGTTTTAGACTGGCCAGCAAATAGTAAGGATTTCAACCAGATAAAAAATCTTTGATATATTGTTAAAAAGAAAGTCTTAAATTAACATAACATCAGTCAAAACGAACTACATGAAGCATTTGTAGATGCATGGAATTCAATCCCCCTATAAAAATGTATGAAATTAATTGAATCAATGCCATTTCATTGCAGTGCTGTTATTGAAAATAAGGAATACGTCACTAAATATTAATTGTAACTATTGGTAGGCTGTGGGTAGTAGCTATTTCGTAAAAAACAATACTAACTACTAATTCTTAAAAAAAATAGTTTTTTATACTTTTTTGTTGGTGTTTCTAATTAGTTGACCACTATTGCTCGTACCTAAAAACTGATTTAAATGTTTGTTCGTAATGTAAAATTGAAACTGCTCTAGTGTAGTGGGATTTATATTGTTTTTCTAATATTTGATGAATCGTTGAACATATTGTTGTCCTAGTTATTGTTTTATTTCAAAATAAAAATTATTGCGGTGAAGTATGTTACATAATGTCAAGAACCGTTGGTAGTGTTTCTAATTATGCGTCCACCACTGTATATATATATATATATATATATATATATATATATATATATATATATAATATGGATTAAAATACGTTTACACATAAAGATCACGTTTTAATGTGAATGCTCATATTGTTGCTTACACAGATTAACTATGTATATTTAATTACCCTACATATAATTACTTTTTTCATAAACGACATACAAATAATCCTTCAATGTACATGATATTTTAAAATGTACATAAAAATATATCTTATATACTAAACGACAATAGGAAAATAAAAGGTGGGGAGACACAGTTTAGACACTGCAGTGCTTAGTAGACAATATTGTTTCTTATTAGCCATTATTAAATGCAATTATTATATTGTTGTATCTAGGTAACTGTGTCCTATAGTAGTCTTTAATTGTATCCATTTTCTAACTTTATGCGTTGTTATTTCGGAAATAGACAATCTCGGATGGCGAACAAGAAATACAAATTACAAACAAATAGTTATAATAAATATATATGATATAATATAAATAAATTACATAAACAATACATAATTGTATTAATCATATATCAGATCCCGTCGACATGAAATGAATCGCCGCATGACAGCAATGCGCCGCCGCCGCGAGACCGTACAGCGTGACAAACTCACTATGTACGACCTGATATTCTACAATCCCACCACAAACCCCATTGTGTAAGTATAATTTTCATTTTGTATTCCTCTATTGTAGACAATACAAACAATTGCTCATAGCAACGCACGCATGCTGTCGTTACGAAGATATTTCCAAAAATACTTTCTTAACATTTTGCTCATTTATCAAAATATTGTATGGTTTATGATTTCCCGTTTTATGAAAATTAATAAAAAAATATAATAACAAAAAATTATCTTAATAATTAATTTTGTAATTTTGTTTATAAGCACTCACTAAGTGGAAGTAACAGATTTAGCCGAATGTTGATGGTTTTAACTGTATTTTACTTTTTGTAACAATATTTACTTGTGTTCACTTTCTAAATTGTGTTTAAAAAATATGAATCCAAATAAGAATTGAACTCTATATGTCGATTCTATTTTTCCTATGCCTATTAATTACTTTTAATTAAGAGGCATAGGAAAAATACTATAAAAAACTCATATATTAGAAAAATAATTAATATTCGAAATTCAAATATAGTTACCGATCATAGTTATGAGCACGTCAATAAAGTTTATTCGTTTTTTAAATCCTCATTTTTAATACCAACAGCCCAACTCAAGATGAGCTTAAAGTAAAGGAAGCAAATGAGAAAGAGGTCGATAGAAAGGTAAAAGAAGCTGAAGAAGTAGACCCCGACGATCCGCCGGAGCCGGCAGAGTCCGCCGCACCCGTTCCTCAGATCAAGCTCGGTCCGAATGGCGAGATTGTGCTCGACGAACAAAGTTTGGTAAGTATTAATACCTAGGTATATGATAATAACCAAACTATTAAAAGCATAAACTGCTTTCACATGTTATCATTATCGGTTTCCTAACCAACTCTGAAAATGAAAATTTTCAATAGTTTAGATTGTTGTCAAATTTTAATTAATAGTATCAATAAGCAAAAGGTCAAGTCATTTTACTTTTTTTTAAATTTTGTTTTCCAGGCATGTTTAAAAGTTATAAATTATGTCTTTGCTCTATAACCTGATGTCCACTATTTTCCAATCATAATTATGACTAAAAAAGGCAATAAAGTACTTATGATTGAAGAACCCGGGAATGCGCGTGGTGCCGGTGCGCGCGTTCATCCTTATTGTCTTGGCCAACATTTACATACAGTCTTTCCTGCATGAAAGCAATGTACGTGTAAAGGCAGCTATTATTTATGTTGATCATTGCAGGTGATAAAACAAACGAAAGACCGCGTAATCTCGTCGGTGGTGCACGAAGGGGCGTGGTCTGGAGGGGGGAGATACTCGCGTGCGGCCCGAGCCGCAGATTGGAGCGAATCAGAAACCGTACGGTTCTACCGCGCGCTCGCAGCCATCGGCACCGACTTCTCTCTGATGGCGCCGCTGTTTCCGGGTCGCACTAGGAGGGAGCTCAAGACTAAGGTATGTAGATGCGTGCAAGGTTACTTTTTAGTGTTATAGTTGTTGTATAGCAAGTGTGTCTGCCTGTGCTGAATCTGAAAGGTCCAAGATATTAAATGAATTTTATCATTATAATATTACTGACACGATTTTAATATTTATAGGTATTTGCTCAGTTATTGGTAAAGATATTGAAATAGTTAATTACTGGGAGATTATAATTCTGGATGAGATTGCTTTATTGTTTAACAAATAGTATACTTGTATAGCCATATATGATTACAATGTTATCCACAAAACATCATATTTTGAGTAGTAACATTGAGAAAACGATGTATGACACTTTACGAGTATATTAAATAGCATAGGGCTCGTATATTTTTTTTCCCTATGAGATAATGTTGCATCCACCTATGCTAGCGGTGCACGCGGCTTTGCACCATAAAGGGTGATATAATGAGCATATTAATAATAACAAGCCTAAATCCAAAAGTAAGCCAGTAGTATTACGATAATAGATTATTTTAACGTAAAACATACGTGATATATCCGCAGTTCAAGAAGGAGGAGCGGCTGAACTGCGCCCAAGTGGACAAAGCGCTGCGGTCGGTGACGCGCTGGGACGTGGTGCAGCTGCAGCAGGAGTTCAGTGACGAGCGCGCCGCCGCCGAGGAAGGGGCGCGGGTTCGACGCCACGAACTCGCTCGTGCTCGCCGCGCGGAGCGGCGACGGCAGCGCGTCGCACACGACTTCCAGATGCGATATAGTGAGTACAATGTTAATGTGTATATATTTATTAAAATTGTTACTTATAATAATAATTATTATGGCATCGATAGCCCATTTGTTAGTATTTTTTTTCTAATGTGTTATGAAAGATATTTTACTGTATTATTTTCCTAAGAAACAAAGAATAGCTGGACATTACATCTAGGGGAAAGATATTTTAATTTCATTAAAAGCAAAAGACTAGTTAATTATTACATTTTGTGAAATTAAAAAAAGTGCTCGAAAGAAAAGAACAAAAGAGTTCAATGGCTAAACTAATAGGGAAAATAAGCCTGTTTCTTACTTTCCACAACTAAATGGCTGAATATAATTTAATAAAATTTAACTTTAAGAATAATTGTATTACAAGTATTAATATATTTTTTATCTCAAACAAATCATACGAAATCGCGAATAATAGCTAGTAGCTTAAGGGGGGAGACTCATGTAAATGCCTCGAAATCGGTCATTTTTTAATATTTTTTTATACAGTGAAAAAATAATTTAATTGTTTAGAACTTTTAACACAACTTTATTAAACATTTTAAGATTACAAAAAAAAGATTTTTTTTTTTTTTAATTCAAAATGGCGGCTCAGCATGATGTCTTGTAGGCTGCCTCTGACGTGAGGTCCGAAACTGCTCCATTTGTCACTCATCTACCATTGATCTGAAACACACAAAAAAAGATTTTTTTTAATTTCAGGACATATAAACGGAAAGGATAAACCTATAAAATTAAAAAGAAAAGGATAAAATCCAATATAAAATAAGCCTTAAAAAAAAGTTACGATTTTGGGCTACTTTTTTGACCCGTTTGACCCCAAAAAAAGTAAGTAATCAATCAGAAATACCCGAAGTTGTAGGTTTATCCTTCCCGTAGTAATGTAGAGAAAAGCCTCACCAAATTTCAAACAAATCGGTCAATAATTGTTTGAGCTACAACACGAGCAGTTTTTCAAAAAGTAGTTTCGAGATAATCGCGTTTAAAGTTTCAGTACAGGGAAATGAGTAGTTTTACTGAATTATTAATTACTTACCGACTAATTTGCAATTCCAGGTCCATATAACAGCCCTTCTGCCTCCTCAAAAAGTTGTTTTTCATCTATTTGATGTTGTCTGCGAGCTGAACGAGCATCTTTGGTCTCTGAAAGGCTTTTACGATTCTGTCGGGTTATTCGCTCCTCGTCTGTACTATCCGCAAATATCTTAGCATAAGTGCCAATATTCAGATTCAAAAGGTTCATTATTTTTAATACGGAAGTATAACCTTCATTAAATATCCCAGCAGCAATGTAAACTGAAATTTCGACTACTTTTAGTCCGGAATGCAGGTGTTTTGGGGATAATCGCCAAACTGTAGTGTTAAAACATTCGTTCGCGTTCTGCGTATGACCACCAAGGCATCGCTCAAGTAAATCATCATTGGACAAATTTTGATATATTGGTAAAAGATGCTGTTTTAAATCTTTACCAAGTATTTTTATTTATTTATTTACGTACTTGACAATACGTACTTCGGCCCGCTCCACTGTATTAGCTATAACTTTGTAAATATTTGAGATTTTTTATTTCCGGCTCGTCAGTACACGCTCAATATAGTATACTTTCAGAATATCGAAAAAAAAAATCGATTTTTTGAAAATTTTACATGAGTCTCCCCCCTTAAAAGCCCACATACAAGAAGGTCAATAGCTGGTCACATTCACGTATAATATATATGTATTGAGCCTAACAATGAATTCTTAGCAGGTAACTTATATGAACATCTTGTTTTACTAGATTCGATCTAAGTACCTTTCAGTCTCAGTGGCGTAGTAAAACAGCAGGTCACAACACTCTCGGAATATAACTTTATTATTAGTGTGTATCACTTTTATTACGTTTGATTTTTTTATGAAACTGGAATGAGAAACAAGGTTACTCATTCCAGTTACCCACCTATTAGTAAGCAATGTAATTTCAATGCCTAACCTGCATCCTACAATTGAAACATAGCTATTAAAAATCACGGGATCTTACCACGTTTTATTTTTATTGAGTTCCCGCTATTTCGGCAGTATTTCAACCGCCATGATCATAGTTTACCGATGATCATGGCGGTTGAAATACTGCCGAAATAGCGGGAACTCAATAAAAGAGCTAATTATACGTATAATGACTGCGTCAAATTTAAATCTATGAAACATAGCTCATACAAAGCAGGCTACCAACATGTTAAACAACAAGACGAATATAAACAATCATACTTATGAATATAAATGTTTGCACCATGCGAGAAGTCGAACCAGTGGAAATAAAGTGGTGTGCACACACAGCTACACCACCAAGGCCGTCATGTGGCATATATTTAATTTAAGTAATTTTTGACACATTACAATAACAATAATTAAATGTTACAGGTAAAAGTTCGAAAGCTCTGGAAACTTCCGTGTCGTCGAACCACAATGACCCTCGTTCTGTGGACGACCTGTTACGAGACTCCCTCAGTGAAAAGAGGCAGTCGGCTGCCACTCCTACACGGCAGAAATCTGGTTTGACAACGTTCAATTTAATTAGTAGTCCGAATTATATGGATGGTAATATATACTTTTTAATAGTTTTTAGGTTTTGGTACGCGGGATTTATTAGGTTTGGTGACTGGGCTAAATTATTTGATCAGCAAAAATACTCTGGAATCTAATTCCATTGGCGATTCCAATCCAATTTTGAAACGTAATCAACACTAATCCGAATGAATCGATAAGAATGTTAGATCTTATCATTGAAGACGAAAATTGTGATATTAATATAATATTCATGGACAATTCACACAAGATAGGCAGACCTTGTGTTATGGGTATTAGACAAATGATGACATTTTTTTGTTAATACATACATAGAAAACACCCAAACTGATACAAACAATCTTACTGATGAATACAACGGTTTGTACAGTACAAGAATCGAACCCACGATTATCGGAAGAAAGCGGTGTGTTAAACCGCTAGGCCATCGAGGACGTAAATAATTTGCTAATGTATAAATTAATTACGGTATAATTGTCATTGAATCGGAATGAGTTTCCAGAGTAGACAGGCTGACATTGTGCATGTCTTTTTATATTTTAAATACTATGTTTATGTATTTACAAATTTCGTCATTCCTTCATTTCATTTCATCATTTCTTTATTAGTTGCAAAGTACTCTCGTCATATATCCATACTAATTTGTCTGTTTGTGACATGTTCATGTCTAAACTCACTGATACCCGTTTGTGTCTCTCTCTTGATACTAATAATATAAATACAAAAGTGTGTCAGTCTGTTTGTTCATGGCTAAATAACTGAACAGATATCAAATGACATGAAGATTGGTTGTATCATGAGGACGGGCAATTTTCAATAGTCATATTTAAAAAAATATCTGGAAGTTGGTGAAATCCACTATTTCACTATCTTCCAGATAATTCTTGAAAGTTTGTACATGATGTGATCATTTATAATCTTCATCAATATTATTCCCAGGTATCGAGCCTACTTGCGCAAACGATCTTATAAAAATGGCAATGCAAGCTAATCGACAAAGAACAAAATCGGAGCAAAGCAATCACTCCAACATACAAACACCGAAGCCAAATAACGTCCCGCTAGCCAGAGCTGAACAAATCGGACATCCAAGTACACGAACACCGAAATCAAATTACGCAACATTGACCACTGTAAATAACTATCCAAAGCATCTGGGTAAATCGAATGTAGAAATAGCGTCTATATCACGAACGGATACACCGCAGCTCTCGGTTAAGACTCCAGAAATTATAAATTCCTTACCGACTACGCCAACAAATATAGAGACAGGATCACTTGTAGTGTTAACTGTCAATGACCCAAAATCACCTACAAAGAAGATGCTGCAAACTTATATTGCTCATGGTGGTGGAAGACTGACTCCCGTCGAGTTACCTCCATCAATATTAAGCTCCGTAGTAGGCTATATGAAGAAAGGGACGCCTAGAAGCAATGCGTCGACTACGCCGTCACCTCAACTGATGTCACCTAATAGTGTTACAAGCCAAGACAGTCGGACTAGTGGCAACCCAAGTGTTATCAAAGTGAATCCAAGTCCCGCAAAGAAACAAAGACATAGTTCCTTTACTATAACACAGCTTTAATTTATGATCTATATTGTAAGATTTTCTTTTTAATGTTAAGTTATAATAATATGCATGCATTTGCAATATAAAATGCCATCTGCATATACTTTAAATAAAACAGAAATAGTTTTAATCTATTTTAGAAGCTACCGTTAATTTGAAATACCGTGAATTTGTGAAAAAATTAAATACCAATTTAAATAAAAATATGGGATGAGATGTAAAAGGATGACTAATAAACTATATGTCGTTTAGCTACATGAACATATTGAGTAACTTACAAAACGAATGAATAAACATAGAGATGTCTTTTTGGAAATCGATTAAAAATTGAAAAGTTTTCGTTATGACAAGGAAAGATGAATTTCGAATTAAGCATATAATACTTGAGACATGTTAACAAAGTTTCTTATTGACATACCATAACGACGTACTAATGGCATTTTCTATTGTAAATACTCTTTAAGATAATATATATAGTGTACCTAAAACCCAATAGCCAATTAATGTAGACCCTTCGTCCATATAGTCGACAATGATGGGTACTTGATTTTATTCGATTGTTATGGCTCTGGAACAGTGGTGCCAATAAAATATACCTCTGAAGTTCATGTCTGAATCTACAGAACACCTAATAGAGAATAATGAAAATTAGGTCCCTCGAGGAATAAAATTTCCACACGTATAAATTGCTGTTTTTTGTCGGTTGTAGTTATATCAGTGCTTATATTAGCTAACCATATTATTGTAACTACCCACGAATGCGACTAGCGACTTGCCTTGCTACGTACGGGTAGCATGACATATAAATTATATATACATCTAAATTTTCGTCAAAAAAATCTCTATTGATAAATTAAATCCGAGTCTAAAAAATATGCGGTGACAGGAAAGAACTACACACATAGCTCAGACTGAACTACAGAGGTCAGTTCAAGCTTGTATAAAGCATACTGTATACTGCCGAATACATATTATATAAAAGCGCATTTGATAAAATTGTATTTTATGTTTATCAAATAAATTTCAGATATAATCGCTTTCCATCCGATGTAATTCCATATTGTAGACAATAATAAAGTAGGTATGTTTTTATACATTTTTATAAATTTGACATAAGGGAATCCCAAAGTTTTCAATCTGTTTAAAAGTAAATAAAAAATACCCTAATTCAGTACCCCTCTTTTGGAACACAGTCAAGAGTTAATAAAAATGTACTATACCTACATTACGTTTGATCATTCAATGACAAATTAAGGCACTACTCGCGTTGCAATTACTAATTATTCAATAAAATATTGTCCTAATTGCGTTGCAAAATATGGCGAACGAAATAGTGTGAAACGGCACATTCCAATGTCGATCTAATGTGGTTTAAAATAGACGTCTGTTCTTGATTTTAATTCCTGCCCATGTATTTATACTTACTTGTATTTTAAAGATAATCAAGTTATTAAAATATTGTTTTAATTTATTTCCATTTTATTTAAATATATATACCACCAAATTAAATTAATTTCTAAATTACAAAAGAAAAACTTCACCCACCATTGGCAATTGATTCTCACGCCCTGCATACTAAATCAGTTACCTCCAACGCACACTCAGATTATGAAATAAACTATCTGCCGATGTTTTGATAAGACAGGTTTTTAAGAACTGTATATTAAGGTTTTTTAAACGTAGACAACAGCGAGCTCTGTATTATAAAACAAGTTAAATCGACATTTTTGTATCCTCTATAAAAGATTTTCCATGTTATAGTCTATTTTCGCAGGAAGAAATCTCTCACTCTATAGTTCTATACAACTACATACGAGTACCTAGGGACCCTTGACCATAAAGATCTTAAGGTGTACTGTATTACAATTCCACAAGAGTTAATATTTACTTGAAGTTGGGCTAGAAGTAAATTCTTCCCTTAGTGCTTATGCATTAGCAAGTACTTTTATAATGTTTTGAAAGTTGGATAATAATAAAATAACTAAAATTTAAAAATTATATATTTACATAATTGCTTATAGACTAAATTACATTAGCATTCATATCAACATGCCTCGATGCATTCGTGAGGCAACCACTGGGACGACTCCAGACTGTCCCACAGGGATAGATCTGGATCAAGAAACTCTTGATTCATTTGATCCACGTCTATGATTTTCTTGTGTTCTGTAAATAAATATATTTATATCCATATTTTAATTTTTACACAAATTTAAGAGATTGGTGTATTTCAACATCCTATGGTGAAAGGTATATCTTAGGCCTCTACAATGGTATTGCATGTTACATTGCCATTGTAATGTAACCACGGGCGTCATGTCCTTGGTAATAATTATGTATACATATACGCGACAGCGGCCATCCATTCACTATAATTACATTGAACATGTATAAGTATAAACATAGAAAAAGTAAATGACTTCTTCGAAATGAAACTGATCACTTTACAACTAACGTTTCTTTCCCGTATGTCTTGACTAATAACTTAACGCATAAATTGTATGGGCTATACTATACTAGACAATGGAACGTAATAATTATACTTTTTTAGTGGTCAAAATAAAGTAATACCTGTTGAGATTACTAACGCTATAACCACAGAGAAGATATGAAATCATTGCTATAAACTCAGCTGAAAATTGAATAAAGATTTTGCAATAACGAAGAGTGTAAGTACGACTCAGGTTTCATACTCTAGTTTCAATAATATATGTTAGTGAAAAAAATTAACTGGAGGTATAGAGACTTATCTTCAATGGCGTAACTACACCCATGCCTCTGGTGTCACATGCCCTGTTAGTATGCCTCTTCTTGATTCCTCTGGCTTTTCTTAAAACATTAATTGAAACAACTTACCAACAAGTGCCAAATCATCAGTTGGCGGTTTTGCGGCGTTGGCCGGTGTAGCTTCGACCGGGGTTGCTGTCTGCGCCGCTACGGCACTCTGGTCGCCCTGCCCATAGTATCCAGACCACGCTGAGTAATTTTGCCAATAGGCTGACGGATCATAATATTGGTTGTACTCCTATAATCACGATCACTCATCAATATTCGAGGCTTTTAGTTCTCGAAATCCACTTGTTGTGATGAGTGAATTGTAGAGTTTCAAGCAAATATTGAAGTGAAAACTTCTTTAAGCGTGCTGAGCATTTTATTTTAGACTATTAAGAGAGATTCATCACGCTCGACTATCTAACGCTCATTCCGGTCAAGTCAGCTTGAGTCGACTAAACAATCGAGAGATATTTTGCTCAAAGTCAATGATTTACTAACCTCGCTCTAATGAAGTTTTCACTTTTATCGTGTGATTTTAAGCACACTGTTTTTATTTTATTTTATCTATTCCTGTAGCAATTCAGCTATTTTTATGAACTTTATTGTATAATATTGAATAATTATACTTAAAAGCTGTCAAACTAATTTATTACGAGCCATAAAGCATTAACTATAGCTAAATATTATAGGCCAATAATATATTTACTATTTAAATTCAATATATTACTGATGTCAGCTTATTAGCAAAAGCTTATTTTTACGATCATATTAGCAAACTCTTCAAGATGATAGCTAGAAACATATTTAAACTCTTGTATACATTTTTTTAAAGTAAAGTAAGAATTAGGAGTATAAACAGTATATCAAGAAAAATATTATATAAAAATACACAAAAATTATGGTTCCAGCTTTATATAAAATATAATTAACGTATGCAATGCAATACAGTACAACAAAGCGGTAAATACACTACTTAATGGAATAAAATATGCATGTAGACTAGAGTGAAACTATTATGAATATCTGAACACAAAATAAACTACTACTATTTTGTCAAAATGAAAGAATTTGACAAAACACTCAGACTTAAAATGGATTTCAAAGTATATTTTTTTAAAGTGGATACGAGAATTTTAAACAATATGAATGAACGATCTCGTCATATCATTTAAAGTGTGAAAGTAAATTATTAAAAATATTATTATGTTTAAGTCATATTGGGTAGTGTTATTCTCTACGATACGAATATTACATATTATAATACATTTATTTTTTTACGTACAGAGAAATCTGTACTAAAAAAAATTAAATTACGATGCGATAACATATCAGATTCAGTCCGAACAGCCAGAGCCCCCGTTCGAATAGCCCATTAACTGCCTTCTTTGGAAATGCACTAATCGAACGGCATCATCGACCCAAGCCGTCCTAAACCTGATAATATGAGCCTACTCTAAACTGTATTTGAGAATCACCTCAATCACAAATCAAGCCTAATTATGTGTTGTATAAACCTATGTTATCATCCATTATGTTGTACTGTATTAGCAATAGCAATCAACTCAAAGTATACCGTTCCGCTGTTATACGAAGCATTTGTTGCTGTTGCCGTTGGTTGAGTTTGTGAAGCCATCGCTCCTTTAGGCTTTGGCACTGCTGTGCAGATTTTAAGTGGCTTGTTACCAAGGCCTGTATATCCATTCATGGCGTATAAAGCGTTGCGCTGTTCCTCTTCATTGCCAAACCTGACAAACCCATAGCCTTTTGTGTAGCCTGATGCATCTAATATTACTGAAATGTGTTGAATTAGTATATCAATTTAAAGTTGTAAATACGCTAAAGTATTAAATTTAAGTTTAATACTTTAGCGTATTTTCGAATATAATATATAAGTTGCAAGTAGAACTTGCTATTAACTTTCGTTTAGTTAAATATTTATTTACATTCATATCGAACATGTTTCTATTTGATTGAATCATTGGTATTTGGAGTAATGGAACATTAAATATTTTTTTATTTTTTTATTCTTACCTTTGGCAGTCTTAATTGAAGAGTATTTCGAAGCGAATACCCTATAAAGCGAGTAATCATCAACATCAGGACTTAGATCTCCTACCCATACAGAAAACTCCCGCTCCTGTTGTATATTGGCACGTGCCTCTCTAGATGCTGTATTGAGTCTGAACCTTACAACGGGAAATGTACCGGGAATAGGTTTACCATTCAGTTTGTGCATTGCATCTATTGCTTCTTCATCAGTCTGAAATTAAACATTATAATCAGTATGACTGTCTCAATGGTTTAGCATACTGGCTTACTTCAGATTGTCGCATCGAACCCGCATATACAATATTCGACAATCTGAACAATTATTAGTATTATTGTTTGAAAATCCAATCCACCAGATTTTTTAGAATATCATAAGTGGTCTGTATTGTAAGCGCTTCTGTGATTGATGGTTAGTACAAGTTTATGCTATTTATACTATGGTCAGTATATATTAGGGTCAGTAGTTTTTGTGTAGCCTCTGGACATAATTTACGGAAGCTCACTCTGCACTAATTATTATATATGTATAACATAATTTTCAGATGTTTGATTGCATGGTATGATATAATTGCAATGGTAACCACAGCATACTAAATATTGCTATTATTACAGAACATATTTCCCTTTCTGAGTAGGGATGATTATATTACACAGGAGTATGGATTTTTTTTGTGAATAATTTTACTTAGATATCTTATATATGAGTACAATACAATACAAATACATACAAATTATGTCTGAAATATTACTGTTAAAAACTAAAACCTTTAACAAGTGCCAATAATCAAATCCGTAAAATTAAACAAGTTTTAAAAATTATCAAGTCTCACAGGGCTCTCTTTAAATTATGAAGGCCTAAGTAATAGAACCTTTCCGCACACAGGTTGGATTCAATAGATGGTAGAAACACACACATTTAATAGTTTAATAGATTATTTTAATCAGTCTATGTATATTATATATATATTTTAAAAAAAGTAGCTATGTATTTATATTGGTTATCTAGTGTGCATAACACAAGCTCTGCTTAACTTAGAGTGATGTATGAATTGACCTAAAACATTATTATTATTATTAATTCATTATTCTCAATTTTCCTTTAGTGTGACAAGTAGTGTAATGTAATATTATTTGTGGCTTCTATGGGATCCTGTAAATTAGACTCTTGGCACAAATTAAAGTAGTTATTAAAGTAACTGATCTTTGTAATAATGGAGCATGTTGAAACTATGTAAATAAATTTTGAATACCTGGAAATGGACAAAGGCATAGCCAGCTGGTTCGCCAGTAAATTTGTTCCTCATCACCTTAACTGCAAGTGGCCTCTGTCCCATGCGATGAAATGCAGCCATTATGAAGCTCTCTGTCATATTGGGCTCCAACTAAGAAATAGATATGAATTTATCAGAGATAGAATATTCAATACAATTGTCTTAGTGCATGGTGAAATATGAGTGCAGTTCCCACAATAATAATTTCCTTAAAATGGTTACTGAAACTCTTCCACAGTTACCTACAATTTACTAGCAACCGGCATCTGTGTTATATTCTATAACAACTGGTTGAAAACAATAATGTTGTAGTATTTGTGCAGTAAATTTAAGGTTAGGTTGCCCATGTTTTATATGAAGTGCACTTGTTAATAATAAACACAATTAACAATGATTATAATGAAATTATAATATCAAAAAATAATAAAAATTGACTTACACTGCCCATCCAAAGTTGACACTGCATAGCCATTTTTTATTTGATTACGAACTGTTATATTCTATTTATTTATTTAGATCTCGATCGTGAATACAATATTTCATTGATTAGCTTCCGAATCATGAAACCAAACAATAACAAATTTGTAAAGCAATCACAAATATCAAAAACCATAAGCAAAACACAAAATTTTACTAAATGACATTACATTATCCCAAGGAAAACGACAATGACAATTGAATGAAACTGAATGATTGAACAATACATTTCAATTTCAATTACTTTAGTGATGTGCAGATCAAATGACAAAAATATTTATACTTTTATCAATTCGTCTTTATTATTATTAATTTACACATATGACTGATTACAGTTAATCATTATTACTATGTAACATTGTTTTATTATAAAATGTACATTATACCTCATTGAAACTACTCGAATTAGATGCTTATAATAAAATTTAATTTAATAACTATGCAAAAATAGTAACAATGCTAACAAGATGAGAAATAAATTCAAAATGTTTTATAATAATATCCTAGAATATTTTAATATTTCTTTGAATGACAATTTGACCAATGAATTACACGTCGTATTTGTCATTCGTTCTTGTACTTAAAAATGACACATAATTTTGTCTTTTGTGTACCATTAGCAATATTTTTCGATTTGTGCATATTATAGTTTAATTAATTGATCTTCTTTAATGTACTATTGTTTGTTAAAAGTATTTACTTAAAACCTATTCCAGTAATAGTTGGTATGTATTACACATAACAATTGTCACACTATTAAATAAACATTTGTTTCGAGTAATTATTAGAAAATGGCACGACCAGATAATATTGATGCTTTAGAAAGGCAATTAGCTGATTTACAAATGAGCAAAGATTATTATACACCAGGAAGAGCAAAAAAGATACCACCTGCTGTACCACCAAAAAAGAAGGCTCAACCACAAGTTCCTCACAGTGCTGTTGTTAACACACTTCGTGAGCCTTCATACTCTATGAAAATTTCCCCATCTTTTAATAACAACAATCTGACAACCAATCATGTTTTATCCAGTAATAATAGAAATCGACCTACATATAAGGAATATGCGAATATAAAGAGCCCTCAGCCATTACCAAATTACGCAACGAAACCGGATTTGCTGTCATCACCAAAAAGTTTTAATTCAACGTATAGTAATGTTCTGCCATATCGAAATAACGACAATGATTTACCACCGCCACCGCCACCGCCACCGCCGCCACTTCCTCCAGCACCATCTCTTTTAAATACCTATTCTAAATCGTATGCCAATAATAACGAAGAATATTTACCACCGCCGTCTCCAGTCAGTTCTAATTATAGCGAATTGGTAAGAGCAACTACTAATTATAACCACGATAAAACATTTCAACAAGAAAGACCCTATGCTCATATATACCAAAACGAATATCCAGAATATGGAGGTTCACAGACATCAACATATGAATCTTTGTATGAACCAATAAATATTCGTCCTCCTAGCAGCCCTTCTTCGCAAACTGGAAAGTCTGTTCATAATTATGAGAACAATTTATCAAGTTCTAGCAAATCACAAACACATAAAGAGGAAGAAGTTGATGCACTCACTAATCTTTTAGTGAAATCAATATCTGATAGCCAAGACCTGGATATTTTTGGAATTTGCATAAAATGCAATGAAAAAGTTATAGGTGAAAGTTCTGGATGTACAGCTATGGATAATATGTATCACATAAAATGTTTCTGTTGCTACCAATGTAATGTTAATTTACAAGGCAAACCCTTCTATGCTGTTGAAGGTCAACCCTTCTGTGAAATGGATTATTATGAAACACTAGAGAAATGTTCCGTATGTTATAAACCTATTTTAGATAGAATTCTACGAGCGACAGGGAAACCTTATCATCCCGCTTGTTTTACTTGCGTAGTGTGTGGTAAAAGTCTAGATGGTATTCCATTTACTGTTGACGCAATGAATCAAATACATTGTATTGATGATTTCCATAAAAAGTTTGCCCCGCGCTGTTGTGTTTGTGAGGAACCTATAATGCCCGAAGAAGGAGAAGAAGAAACTGTTAGAGTAGTTGCTTTAGATCGCAGTTTCCACGTACGTTGCTACCGCTGTGAGGATTGTGGCCTTTTGTTATCCTCCGATGCCCCAGGGCGCGGTTGTTATCCACTTGATGGTCGTATTTTGTGCAAGAATTGTAATGCTCATCAAATACGTCTCCTCACTAATGTTATGACTACTGATTTGTAAGATGTATTGACATACGTATAATAGATATATTTTTACATAAAATTAATTTTAAAAGTAAGGTAAAAATATCATTGTTCTAATGTAACACCTATAACCCATATGTAAAAAATAAAAGATATTCATAGATACAAAGTAGTATGCAGGTAAAATTGTAGTTCTAACATAATTATAAATAGATATACCTATGAATATGCTACACTCATACTTTACCAGTATGTTTATTATTGTATTGTATCTATGCTTATTTTGAAATATTTCGTATATACCTATTTATGTATACCTATTTTCGTATATGATGATCTAATAAATGAAAAGTTTTTTTAATTAATTGCGTTTACGAAATAATGCCTTACACATTTATAAAATTACTTTATCTTTGTTTTGTTATCTTGTTTATTCGTAAATCTTTAAAGAATTACATAAAATACTTACTTATTAATATTTTATTTAAGCATTAAGTTTGACGCGTAATTTTAAATATATATATGATAATAAAATTAATATTATTATAGATAAGGAAGAATTTTATATATTGCACCGATAAGAATAATAACAGTCTGAATTTAAATTGTTATATCTTTTTGGATAAATTTATGTTTATGTCATTATGTTCCTTAGCCGCGGTGAAACAAAATTTTTCTAATATTCATAGTGATAAAACTTGTAGTTTAATATACACAATTGCATTAAATTTAAGATGCATTTATTTATATTGCCAAGTTAATTCATATATTATTTTTAGGTAAGTCTTTTTGATTATTTATGAAGAGTTACAAAATAAAAAAAATATTCAAGACTGAGAAAGGTATTTGAATGAAATTATTTAAGAAAAGAATAATTTATACAAAATTATTTATTGCGATTAATTATTATTAATGTCGAATGGCAAATTGTGATAATATTAAATGTTTTATATGAAGTAATAAAAACAGATGTATATATACTTAATAAAATTAAATCATATAAGTCATAAGCATTAAAAATGCTAAAAAAATCGTGTATGAATGGCAACTATTTTAATTATATTGATATATTTTATTTTGCTAAATATAAGATTACTTTTATCACTTTTAATTTTTTATTATTTAGATCACATTTCTTAAACCTCTATGTCTACTAACAATATCAGTACAACATAATGTGTTTAGCGATTCTGAAAGAAAAATCAGAAGATACATAAATGATGACAATTAATTGTAACTAAATTACACATAGAATGGCAATATCTATTTTACTATATACTTAAATAGCTACGGAAATTGAGCAGCACATTACTGTCCTGATTACTCACTTCCCACATACTCGTCTTTGCCACACATGGATACATTTGAAACTCCCCCCGCTTCCTACTCTGACGTTACATATTTAGATTATCAATATTAAATCTAGAATTACAAAATTAGATCACTATCCATTTAAATTTATTTTGTAATAAAATATGAAAGCATATGTCCTTTACAGTCCTTCCAACGCAAAATCACACTTCGTCGACACTCGTCTCTCCCCTTAAAGTGTGACATATTTTAGAGGTGACCCCTTTTCTATACATATTACAGCGATACAAATTTCAATATAAAAATATCCTTGAAATTAATGAATATTATAATAATATTAAATACTTAAATGGCAAGAATGAAATATAGGTTCCAATTATTAATGCTGAATACTGGCTGGGTTATTAAAATATTATATGCACAATATAAATCACAGATAGTAGGTACTTTTATGCTTATTTTAATAGTAGCTATGTTTCTACACATATCTTTAATTACTTAGTTCTATAAAATCAGGAAACTAACCAGAATAAATTTATAGTAAAAAACCTAGGCTAAGTGTCATACAATAGTTTATACAAAATTAATTATTAAAAGCTCAAATTACACAATCCCACAGAGTCTTAATACCTACTAAAATGTACTAATATGAAAGCGAATAGTATCTACTGGACGGATTAAATTTGAAATATTGACACATATATTCGAGATTAATATGTATTACTTTTCATCAGAATTCACATGGGTAACATATCATTACCTATGTTACAGCTCGAATTTAAAAGCTAACTGCTTTTAAATTCGAGCTATATTTGTATATAAAAATATACAACGTAATATTTTATTTTACTTTAGTCAGTAATAGAAGCAAACGTACATAATCATCATGCAGTTGGTGACATTATTTATCCGATCCCAATATTGATTAGGCACGTTAACATATAATGCAGTATACATCTTTGTAGTAAAAGCTATTGTAGCATAAATTCAGCTTAATCGGTAAGTTCTTCGTAACTCTCGTTGACCACTATAGAAAAGCATAGTATTTCCTATTTATTCAAATCTTATTCTCTGTTGATTTATATGCTACCAATATTTTTTAACAACTACGTACACTGGCAAAGCATTAATAGAACTAATTATTTGCAGTCCTAGTTAGAATGTTGGAATGTTTGGCTTTTCATTATAAAATTATGGATGTATAATTATAATTTGTTACAAGTCGTAAGAATAATATAGTATTCGTTGAAAAGTATGATGAAGAGATAATTTCATATTAAATTGTAATGTATGATTAATTATTTTTATCTCTAGACTTTAGTGTTAGAATTAAATGACTACATACGTCATGAGATCCTCGTTCGTGTTAATAGTATATGACTATGAGATAAAACTACACATAACAATTAGGAACAAACAGGGGCGGATCATGAATTTGTGGGGCTGGGCTAAATCTACTTAGGGGCCTACCTATCGTATCTAATTATATTACTCAACTAAAAAAATACACCGACCAAAAACAAGCGATCAGAAATACCCCATTCCTTTCGATAGACGCGCGGTTGCCAACCTTATGATAGGTTCTAAATATCATTTCCAAGGGGACTGGGGGCCCTTTGTATCCATCCTCGGGGCCCTGGGCTGCAGCCCAAAAAGCCCTTAGGTAGATCCGCCCCTGGGAACAAATGATTATTTTACACTACATCTTATGCTTCAGCTTAGTATTAAATTTTGGTGGGCTGAGTACTTGTTTCATAAACAGAGATCGTTTCTCCTTGATACTTTTGGAACATAGGTAATCGGAGGTATGTGTACTGGAACTATTAGTCTTTGAATTAAAGTTAATTCTGTCTTTTGTGGCATCTAAGTCATTTATCACGTTAATAAAATTTGACTCTAAAGCACTTGATTTGTTTTCTAAACCATGACACAAAATTTCTTTATCGGAATTTAAATTTATTTTAGGTTCGAATTTTTCTCTTAATATAGAGAATTTTCTTCTTGGTTTACTTCGTACTCCTTTTTTTATATTTGTTATTTTAGGTGCAGGTGTACTAACGACAGCTACACCAGGATCTTTTTGTATTAGTGACTGTAGAGATGATGATATTCTAGTAGACGAAAGGTCCTCTATGGAACTATGTGGTAAAGAATTTTCAGATACCAACTGCCATAAAAAATCTATGTCTCTATTTGAAAGGTCTTGAAGACGATGGTCTGACTTATTATTAAGTTTCTTATTTTGTAATTTAATGCCACAAATATTTGTTTTTTGTCGCCGTCTAGGATTTCGACTTGTTTCTGCGCTTTCCACATTAATGAAGTCATTTTGAGTAGCTTTATCTAGGATTCTAGATTCATTATTAGAATGAAACTTCGAATCATGAGATACACTTATTATATTTTCTTTTTCAGGAAGAGATTCCATTATATTACTAGAATCAAACTTTGAAGGTTCTTTCCAAAGAGCTTTCTTTAAAGTATTTTCGATAGAAGCAGATGCTCCATAATGAGGCGAATCCCATAAATGCTCTCTTCGGTGATATAAATTTCGTGGTGAATTATTTATAAATGCATTTCGAATTTCATCTATTGTAGCAACTAGTGAACTTTCAGAGTTTAGCCTTTTCTTCGCAGGTGTATCTATGTCTCCTAAATCATCTAATTCTTCTATTATAGGTTCTAAATGATAGGGATCTTTACTAAAATCTATTACACATGGTTTGGTTATCACCGTATCTTCGTCTGCAACGCACATAGCTGTATTAACATAATCTTGATTATCTCTGTCTAAGTTTACAGAAATATTGGAATAGGTAGGAGTCTTTTTAGAGAATGGCGGAGCTGACATCATGGCATTCTTCAATTCTTGAGATAGGCAACTACTTATCTCTGAACTTTCTGAAGTAAATGTATCACCTCTTCTATCACGTACGACACTTCCATCATGTTGACAATTTTCAATATCTGAATATCCATTCCAAGATCTTAGTCCCCAGGCTTCTCTTGCAATATTTACAGCACAGATATTTTCATAATCATGAACTGATAATAATTCTGAAGGAGTATCTAGGTCTCGTTGTTTTGATAGAAAACGTTCCTTGTTAACTTTGCTTCTACTTTTATCTTTTTTAGTATACATTTCTTTAAGAATATCTAACGCTATTCTTTGAATGTTTTCAATATCTGCGTCTTGATTTCCCACTTTTATATTCTTTAATGCACTTAGGCATAATTTTTGCACTATATTTTCATTAAAGGTATTTATATCTGAGCTATTGATGTCACTAAAACTTAAATCCAAATCCATATCAATAGAATCTGATGAAGTTTTTTTGTTTGAGCCATCTGTATCTTGACTAATTTCTGAACTTCGGCCAATTTTCATATTTTTAATAAAACTGTCATTTCCTTCATTAATATTAGTCAAACTATCTCTTAATTCATCCGAAGAACAAATTCCTCGGCGCTTTTGTATGTTCATGTTATTAGATGTAATTTCGTCTATAGAACTTTCTATATTTTTTATACTAGATAGTTTTAATATAAGGTCATTTGGTGAATGCAAACTTTTTAAACATTCAATTTGTCTGTGAGTCCTGTATAATTCAGAATCCTCTCTAATTGCGGCACTTGTATTTGACCGCGGAGTATTTTCAACGGTATATACTTCAATACTAGAAACATCCATACTACTATTGTCTAAAGGGACTGATGTCAAAGTTGGTGTCCGCGACATTGCAATCCAGTGATCTAGTAAAAAATTTTTGTCAACATTTTGATTTTCACTTTTTGATGTTGGTTCCGGCGACGCTACGTTCTTTTTTTTGTATCTTTTTTTTCTGAAAACATACACAATTCTAAATCTTCATCATCGTATAAGAAATATATATTTACGTAGGATTACATATTTAACTGATTATTCAGTATATTTAATAATTGCATTAGTACTCAGATATGTACATAGGGATTTATTTTTAGTTTTTGCAAGTGAATGCAAATACTAAATATATTTTTCCAAATTCCGAAATTTAGAAGTAACATTTTATTTATATTTTTTAGTCACTTTATAAACATTAGAAATCAAATAAACATCAACATGTAATCTTTTTAAGAATTGTTAATTCAAAAATCAAACCTTGGTAGCTCGGTAATCTGTCCACTTTTAAACGCTCTGACGTGGTTAACAGTCTTAGTGCTGTCCGATTTTTCATTCGTTACTTTATTATTTAATTCAATATCACAATGGGAATTATTCCTCTCTTCTTTAAGTCTTTTTATGTGAAAATATTTATAATATAGTATCATTGTAGCTATGCCTGAAATCATACAATAACGGAATTAAGCATTAAGTACATTATAAGGTACTAGTATAATACATTAAATTGAATCTTACCAATTAGAGTCCCGGCTATTACACATACTGTAGCTGCAATAGACCATGGTTTTTTTTGTTGATCGATGTCGGAAATCAATACATACAGGAGTAATCCACCAAAATTTTGGGTAACTATTAATGTATAAAACAGCAATAATCGATATCGTGTTTCACCTTCACTTAAATTAATATAACAAAAACAATATAAAAATCCCATGACTACATTATACAAGGCCTCTTCCAGTTTGTTGGCACAAAATGATGTTTTTTGCATAACAATCCAAAATGTCATTACAGACCAGTGTAAACCTGTCAAATAAATTTTAGCCATGGGAATTATTTAACATCACAAACTATAATTGGTAATAGATATATTTTATTTAATTAATAGGCTTGGCAATTATGAAAACTAATTAAATATTGAACTATAGTTTAATGTAAATTGAAAATCAAAAAGTCCCTATACCCATCTCTATCATAAATTTTGAACAATATAAGTATTATTACTTAATCTAAACAAATATTGGGAATATTTAGAGTAAAAAATTGTGAATTGGGAACAGTAAGATAATAATAACATCATAAATACTTCTTAATACTTACCCAAAGGAATTAATGTCCATATACCAAAAATCATGGCAAATACTAGTATACTTGGAATCCTTCCAATTAAAATGGCAAAATGCCATGTAAGTTTTATAATAAAAGAACTCCATTGAAACCCTTCATGGGTAAATACTGTTGTACTGTAGATGTATGTCGAACAACTCCATATTACTGATGCTATTGAAGCTGTTAGAGCAAATGCTGCGAATAAAGGTTACGCATAAGTCAATAAAGTAATTTGCTGCTACTTTATTATTGCTTATAATGAGCAGTGTTTTTTTTGTCGTTCAGAGGTTTTTAAATATACCAATATTTATATTTTGTACTCGCTATGGAACATAATCATAGTCATGTGTTTCAACAGAGAATATTGACGACGCATTTAATAAAAATTATAGCATTATTATATTATGAAAATAAGTTACCTTTAGTGTAATAATTTTCACTTAAAACAATGATGGCATATGATTGTAAAATAATTTGTGGAATTGTCCCAGTGAAAACATATAAAAAGTGTAATAAACTCAAATCATTTCTTTTAGACACCCATTTCTCAGTTTTAATTGATTCCAGGTTTTTGCAGGCAAAAACTTTATATAAAAATGTTACGTACCTGAAATTTACATCTCTTTTATTTGAGTAACAGAAAAACAGTAGTGTTTATAGAAAATAATATTATAGAATAATACATATTTAAGTAGCATCATATATATACATATTTATTATGTGTTGTATTAGTTATATATGAGTGTTATATTTATCCTTAACTAGCTGTGCACGCGACTTCGTCCGCATGGAATTTAACATTATTTTTCTAAAATAAAGGTAGCCTAAGTTACTCCCTATTACATCAGCTACCTGCCAATAAAAGTCCCGTCAAAATTGGTCCAGCTGTTTCAGAGATTAGTCGGGACAAAAATTGTTAAAAAGGTTATTTTGGTGTAGGTATTATATTCATATGCATGTAGTAAAAAACGGTTATTTCAATATTACAAACAGACACTCCAATTTTGTTTATATGTATAAAATATAGATTGAGCGATTTTTTTTTAATAAATAAGCATGTAAGTTAAAATACTATCTTAAACTAGTGTAAAAATAATTAATAAATACCTTTCTAATAATCCAATAAGAAATCCGTGTGTTATCCAATGACGAACATTAATTTTCTGGTCACATACATACCATCTTATAGAAAATATATTTATTATTACGTTGGGGGTGACGATAAATAGAAAAGTTGCTGTTGCCCAATTATAACGACTGTTGTGACAATATTCAGCAAAAACTAATATATCTGAAAAAAAAAAAAAATAACAGCAAGTCTTCACATGGGCTTTCAATATAATTTATAAATATTATAAGTATTTATATCTGTTATTAATTTAGGTATTTCCAAAAGTTTTGTCCCAGAAGATATATTTTATATATACATATTTTTAAATTAATTAAATAACAACTGTCGCTTACCAGTAGTTAAATCCGCTAGTATTGTTACAAGTGATATAAATACACATATAACATTTACTAAACAATAATTTTCATCGTGATTTACACCGGATTTATTGTCAACAGTAGCTGCACTTATTCTATACCCTTCAGACATTTTTTCAATTCATACTCGTATAATGGTAAGTTTTATTATATATCTCAGATAGTGTTTTAATTGTTATTTCTATTATTGATGTATTTCTTACAACTTATTATAACTGGTATAGGACGCTAAGCTGGTACTTAATTGTAAGTTGCAACCACACCACAGAGGTTTTTTTATTCTAACTTTGTAACCGACCAATCACCGCACACATTTCACGATTCATCGGCGCAGGCGCAAGTTCCTAAATGGTTACACATGTACACACACATGTGCAAATTGTAAACACCAATGACATCAGAGTGTTTATCTATGATACAGATCTTTCAGAATTACAGATAATTAATGAACGAATGAAAATATTAGTGAGGTGCCACCTCAGAACACTAATGCAGTACCATGCACAATATTTAGCGTTTTCTCCATAAATAGAATTTCTCAACTTATCTGTGGACTTGCATGTCAATGTCAATGTTTTTATTTACTTTTTAACTTTTTTATTTATTGTTATATTTCTTATTGCAACTGTATCTCCTAATGTCTCTTACTACTTCTTATACATGTTCAATTAATTAATTAATTAGATTAAAATAATAATATAAAATATGATTCACGACTCTTTACTTATTTTGTGGGATTATCCACATACGAAAGAAACGGCGCCAAGTGTCGGTATTTTATTATTTTTCTTATTGTATTATGTTTATAATGGTTTACTTATAGTATTTTAAAATTTTTAGATTAATACCTTAACATTTATGAAGGAAGAAGATGCTGAAATTTACAATAGAATATGCAATGTAGCCAGAAGTCATCATAAAATCCAAAACTACATCGAAACGTCGGGATTTCGCTCCAGAAAATTACAATCTGGTGAATGATCAGGTTTTTGTTTGAAATTTTAATGAGCATGTTCTGTGTACAGTCAAATTTATGCCAATTTATTTCAATACATTACAGCGTCAGGTCTCAAGACTTCCGGTTTATATGCACAAGCCCTAAGTGAGGGTATCACTGAAGTTCTTCAAAACTATAAGAAAACATTAGTTGAAGTTGAAAGTTTAGTAATTAACAATCATAACTATAATCTATCTTTTATATATAGCTATGTAGAAAAATTCCATGGATTGTTCAATACTTTGAACAGAATAATTGTTACAATTAAGGAGAGGAGGCTAACTGGTTGCCAAATATTGAGTTTAACTCACCAATACATCTTAAATGGGAATGAAATGGTACATGAAGCTGTTATGAAGTAAGTTATTATATTATAATAAACTAATTATTTTTTCTCTTCTAATGAACAATGAGTGGTCTAGTGATTTAGCTTCAGCTCACCACCTTTTAATGGTTGCAGTTTTAATTCTTGGACAATATAGTTAATTGGCTCTTACTAATATTTTTATAATAAATGAATATGTTATATACCTCTCTTGACCATATTAACTATATTAATAATGTGTTTTAAAAAGACAACTAAAAATTGATTGTTAGTATTGCTGGGTGTTTTCTATGTATGTTATGTATTTGTTTATAAAAAAGCAATTTTATAGGTTGTATTGTTGTATGATATGATTCTTGTATAAAAACATCAGTATTCATTAGTGCAATTAATAGTTTGGACATGGGTATCTTGTTTTAAAAAGTATATAATATGCTCTACTACAGTACAAACAGTCCATATATTGAAACTAGATGGTGCCAGAACAAAACAATTAATTGTACTCATTAATACTGATGACTGTCATACAAGAATCAAATCATTACTAGTAAGATGGCAAACTTACTAGTAAGATAGTCTAGCCATTTAGGCTAGATTATCAAGGCCATCAAAACTATAAGAAGTGTATACAATACCTGTAACTCATATTAATATAATACTCATATTAATATACCTGGCTGCATATATTTTTACTTCCAGAATATTCAGTAGTATAAACAAAGTGTTTGTGAATCAATTGTGTACATGGCTGTTGTATGGTGAATTAAGAGATCCATACCAAGAATTCTTTATTTATCAAAACCAAAAAGATGATGTGTCAGACACAATTCTTTCTTCTCCTTCAACAAATACTTGTGACAAATCTCTGGCATCCACTGTGAGTATTAAAATAAAAATATTAAAATTGTACATTTTGTATTGATGCTAATGTAAAAAAATAATGAGATAGATATAACTGTAGTTATGTCTGAACTGGTATAATTCCATATGGGATTAAGCTTTTCAAGTGTATAATAGTTATTAGTGCATTTGCATTGAGAAATAGTGCCAGTAGTACAGGATACTGATATAAGAATTTATTATTTAGCAAAACTTGTCACTTTAAAATTTGTGTTTTTAAATATTTTTTTAGTTACAAGATACAACTCTGGATTGTGGTTATAATTTAAACCCCAACATGATACCCTACTTTGTCCCACTTTCCCTGGCTCAGGAAATATTGTTTATTGGGAAAACTGTAATACTCTTTGGCTTTGATCCTCGAAAGGTGAAGAGGAGTAACTGTTTTATGCATAATAGGCCTATAATGCCTTTACAGAATTGTGGTGCCGACTCTAGAAGGTATTAGAAACTTGTTTGTTTTTCTATTACAGACCAATTTTTTTATACTTTGCATATGAGACTTGTCTATTGATGCTTCAATAAGTTCTATAGTAGAATTATTTCTTTTAACTTGTCTATAGTATAGTCACTTGTGTACTTGTAAGATAAAGATAAAGAAAAATGCATCTTTTATATAAAGAATAACATTTTTTACCTGGTTTTTATTGTAAAGTTTCATTAAAATTCATTCATTTGTTGTTGCTTGAAAGAGTAACAAACATCAATTCATCCACACTCACAAATGTTCGCTTTATAATATTAGTAAGATAAAACCATAACTGCCAGTTTTATTTAATATTTACGCACTCACAGTACTGTCTCTTCACTTTACAGTCTGTGAGTCCAATGATGATTTACAATTGCTTGTTCCAGATTTACAATATGGGAAGAAAAAGAAGCAGAATTTCATGACAAATTGCAGAAACTTAAAAATCCTGAAGAGTTTGAAGTTACTAATTTAAGGAGTGTAGTAAGGGAGATAAAAGAATGTGTTACCAAGGTAAAATATATATATATATATATATATGTACTATGAAGGTTTGCAAACAGGCGAATATATGGATTCTAAACATATATTTGATTATAAGTGGTCTCTGTAATCTATGAGTACTAATAATACCAGGGATTGAAATATAATGTTACTTACAAATGTTTACATCTGGAGACAGTGTCCCATTAAAGAAAACCAGTTTTCTTCCTTTACATTCATCAACCTATTTATACACGTTTACCTGTTATGAATTCTTTTTATTTGGCGTTTCTGCAATATGCAGTGCTATCAGATAGGGGATCTGATTGACATGCATCTGTTTTTATATAATACCACTATGTCACAATCCGATGAAAGAAGTGACTTATGGAGCACCCTATCTTCAATATAGGTACCAATTTTAGGTCCCTATGTAAATATTTTAACCAATCAATTCCAGCACCTGTGGACCGTCGCAGTAGAAGAGGCACAGCTGCTCCATGAGCTGCGTTTAATGAAAGACTTTTACCTACTGGGTCGCGGAGAATTGTTCTTAGAACTTTTACGGCTTACGGCCCATAAGCTAGATAAGCCTACTACAAGGACATCAACAAGGGGTGATTAGTTATATATAAATAAATATATTTTCAATGGAAATTTTACTAATTAGGTCACAGAAATTTCAGTAATATATATTACGCAATGGGACACACATATAGATTAGATAGAATAGAATTAGGTATTATGCATTATAATAAATACACCTAATTCTATTCTACATTTTTTTGCTGAGAAAGTAAAACATCCATATGTTTTACTTTCTCAGCAAAAAATGTAGACCGTTGTATTTGGAAATTCAGATGTGCCAAACTAAGGATTCGATTCCTATATTAATTGATCAAATCTATCCATGGTTCAACTAGAACGTGTTTATAACATTAAAAAAATGTATATCCCAACCAGGATTGCGAACCCTTTTTATTTATTACTTTAAGGCACCAGAAGTAAATAACAAAGAACATACGTTAGAGTAATAAGTACAAAAGGTGAAACGTTAAAACATTTAGCCACGTACGAAGGAATAAAAAATACTATAAAATTTGTAAAAGTATCAAGAGATTCTACTTATCTCTCTAATCTTGTACGTCAGCGTATTTTGTCTTTCTAGGATTCTCGTATAGTTTTTATATTTATGAACGCAATACAGTAATATATTTGCAACGACTAACGATTTATATAAATACGTTTATATTCATTCGCATATGTAATTAATATGTATTAATTAAAACGTCCATCTTATTATGTTGCCCTCTCAAAGACAGAATGCAAAAACAAATAAATATCTTTCCTTTGGAAATAAACACAATACATTCTTAAAGAGAAAGATGTTTACATACACATCACAAAAATACTTATCCTAAGCTATATAATACTATATATTTACAGATATGAATCATTCTTTTCAATTGGCGGCGAGAGCGGTATTTCTCAGCAATAGTGCAGATATTGATAAGTTTAGTTTTGAATTGCCTTACGTGAAGCCTAACATATCGGCGAACTCCTCAATTGGGGATGACAGCAACACAGGTATTAATCTAGTTGTTATAGTATTTTAATATTTTAACTGAGCACATTCATATTTTATTTTGTAAGAGCGGTATATAAGTGACTCACAAACTGATTTACCGACAATGAGTTTTCTTAAATTAAATTAAATCTATGGGCGTCAGTAAAAAGCGCGTGAGGATCTCAGTGTTTGTATGGTGTATTTTAGTATAATTAAATTAAATTCAAAATAAATTTAATCGCGTATGTCCATAGATAACGTGATGTCACAGTGCCGTTCATGGATACAGGCGCTAGTTACCACTTACTATCAAGTGTGCCATCGCACACCGCTCTGTGTTTGCCATTCAAATTACATAAAAAATGTTATTACAGTCGCAGATGGATGGTCTAGCATAATTTTAAAGTACGACTTTAAATGGCCCCTGCATTTATTATTCATGCCCGAAGTTCTAGCAAGATACAACGATATGTTCCGGTTTCTATTGAGGATTAAGAAAACGCAGCATGACTTACATGCTCTATGGAAGACTTATAAACAGTCGACGAGGTTAGTATTGTTGCAGAGGTGGTGGTATATTAATTCAACTACGATAGTCACATCCAGCGGGAATAAAAGAAACCAAAACATTTAATTTTTATAATAAAATACTACATTTTAATTTACTAACTATAACTTAAAAGCAAGTGACACCATTCGACGCTAGAATGGATGTACCCTAGAAGACGTAACGCAAACCACAGTTGCCAGAAGAACATAGTCGGTTTTTTACAGATTTAATAGGATATAATTTAATGTTATGATAGTATTAAATAAAAAAATAAAGTAAAGATTAATTGTTAGATAGTTCACTGGTATAATACCTACCAAAGCATACTATGACTGAAGAAGCAACAACTTTTTAAAGGTCAATTAAGTTCTGAATAGGATTTTTATTATGAAATATTAATGAATTTAGGTACACGTAATTCCATTATTATCGTAATGTATATACTATGCCCTATAGAAGGGTATGCAGATTCTTTAAAAAAATTCTCCAATTGTAATCCTTCTTGATATGGTACAATCCAAAGCATTCTTCTAATTTAAAATACGTTTATGGCAGTTTCTCTATGTGCCAACTCCATAACAAGCTGATGTTCCTCATGGACCATTTGCAACACTATATGCAAGCTGACGTGCTGGAGACTAATTTCTCGCGGCTAATGGATGCAGTGAACAAGACGGCCGACTTTGAGAAGCTTAAAAAGGCACATGCAACATTTCTCGCTGACATACTCAGTCAATCATTTCTAACTGTTACTTCGGTAAGCATTTTATTAATCTTTCATTTTATCCATAATATATACACATATAGGAGTTGACCCTGCAATCATTGTTTTGGCACACATATTATTATTTAATAAATGTTATAAATTGATTACTGTTTGCAGTCATCTGAGAGCGACTGTTCAGGCGACACCATCGACTCTATAAACAACCCAGTGTTCTGCAATATAATGGAACTGATAAAACTATGCGACTCCTTCTGCAGTATGAACGACTTTGTGTCTGATAAGGAAGCCGAAGACTACTACATACGGGGCTACTCTGATAGGTGTGTTGTGTTACGTTTAATTGTCGTACCAAGTACTTTAAATGTGTTTATTTCAAAAACATAAAGGATTATTGTAAAATATGCATGTATGTAACATGCAACACTAAATGCAATGTAATTACTAGTCCTAGTACTACTAGGTATTACTGGCATTACTGGCTGGCAACGGCAGTGAATTAGGTAAAATAAATAAAATAACTTACCAAACTTGTAGTAATGTATTTAGTGGTAATATATGACACAATATAGCAAAATAATATAATAAAAAATATGTCAAAAATTGTAAATAAAAAATATATGGTTTAAAAATAGAAATAGCTATAAAAAGAGGTCTGTCGCCAACACTAAGTTTATTTTTTTATTCAATGCAAATAAGCTCAATCAACCTGATGAATACTGGCAACTGATTGTTGCTAATAGACATGAATATGACGTGACGACCACGGTACTCGTCATACGTTGCCTTTTCTGTGGTCTAAAGCGCCTTGGTTTCCGTTTCATACCTTAAATTGGAACACAACATATAAAGGATACTTCTGGACGAAACTAAGTAAAAAAAACCTTCGCAAACGACTACAATTATTGTGTAGTTATAATATGAGAATTGAAGTGGATATTAATAAAATTTCTCTCCAGGATCCGTTTCAGTCATTATCCAAGACTGGAAATTCACTTATAACTTTTTTGTACAGGTTTAATAAGTTGGTGAAACAATTGATGCAACTGCTAGTGTCAGTGCGCGAGCGACCTTCTGGAGTGTACTTAGCACGGTTGCTCATGAGACTGGACTATAACCGCTGGCTCAGTGGGGAGGCGCAACTCACACAGTCTGTAACTAATATGCTACGGTACTAAATACATAGGACGTTTATTTTTTTTATAAGTTTTTATGGCTCCTAAGCTTAAGATAATAAATAATGGAGCGATTTATAACTGTACAATTGTTACGCGATAATTTTATATTTATGAGAGTGGTTTGAACGTTTCTAACACATGTGAGGATGATAGTCATTGTTCTAGGGATGCCAATGTACGAGAATCCTTGTACAATTACGAGATTTTGACCTACGAATCTCGGTTCAGATATGATGACGACGAGGTTAGACAACAAAATTCTACTGGTATACGAGATTTTATTAGATTTTTCAAGCTTGTTACGAAGCTAAATATTTTAAGGTTGGCAACTTTAGGCTATTCAGATAGGCATAAATTAAATATATTTGTCAAATTGTAAATTACATCGCTCCACTAGTTCTTGATCTTATACTATGTCTGACTGTAATAAAAGGTTACTACTGTATCTAGTAATGATAAATTAATATACATATATTATATAATTAATAAAGAAAGGTAATTTTAATCCAGCCATTTGTTATTTTAATAAAACAACATAGCAAGAGTATCACGTACAGTAATAGAATATACAAAACATACGTAGAATATATAGGGAGAAGATTGAATTAAAAAATGAAATTAATTAAGTTTTTTTTATTAACATAGATAAATTCATCTTTTTGAATTGTCAAGATACACGTGGTTCTCAGGATGATGATAATGATGAATCATCATCAATTATATCTTCCTCTAATATGCCATTATCACCATGACCATTAGTGTTTGCTTCTAAGATTGTTTTCTCGGCATGTTGCTGCATAACTGCCTTAGTCAATATGCATTTAGTCATGTGACAAGAACATGGGAGAGGGTGTTCAACTAAATCTGGATCAAGTAGTGTCACCTCCAAATTGTATCTGAAAAATTATAAAATTTATGTTAGATCCAAAAGAAGCCGGCTGAATTTTGATGCGCAAAAAGTATATATTTTTATAATATAAATACTATATTGTTTTTAAATGCATTTACAAAAGTACTTTAATCGCACCAATACTTTAAAGTAGGCAAACCCTTAGCCGGTGTTTTTTTATGTAATATATATGTATATATCTATAGTCTGTGATTTCAGCCAAAGGTTACCTTTCAACCAAAATAACTTACAAACCGAGCTGCTTGGTGAAATAGGCAAGACTATCCATGTATGCAGATGATATTGTACAAAGTCTAGCTTTTTTTACATAGTGTACTTGGCTACGAATATGTAAATGTATTAGGCGACTAAAGTTTGAAGTAGTGTTTTCATAATTTAAATTTTATTTTTAATGTATATCTATGTATGATATAATGTTTACCGTCTTTTGTTAACTTGATCTCTTGTTATATCGACCTGAAATGCTATTGGCTCCCCTTCTTCAACCTCTTGTTCAAGAGGTAGGACTATGATAGTTTGTTTCCAATGTGTTGGCAAACTATCTGGGCTAGTGTGTAACTGCACTTGGGTAGCTTTATCATCATTAGATAAACTAGGAAATGTACATTCAAACCACACACACAATCCTTGATATAATCCAGTTTTTTTTATAGCTGAAAATATTGTCTGAAATTAGATTGTGAAATATACATATATTCCTGTATAGTTTAAATTTTTTATTCAGAAAAATTTAAACCTACAATATTACTATAATGTTTTATTATTATGAATTTGATAAAAAAAATATATATATTTTGACAGAAAATGTTGTTAATGGTTAATACACTTAATAATTATGAAATCTCTGTATAAAGTTACATTGAATATCTGTGGTATACATTCTTGTAATTGAGAACATACACCTATCATCTATGTGTTGTACATAATAACTTGATTTACCTGCAACATGCTGTAAACTGAATGAGTCCAAATCTGAAACTGCATCTTCTTTTAGGTTGATCCAACACAGTGGTGTTTCACATGCAAGGAGATCCTTTGTGTCTATTGTCATTATTTCCGGTTTATTGTATCTGTTTTCTCTTAAATGTTTAGCAAATACAGACATGGATACCCCATGTAAATTGTCCCATTTCTGGTTTAAAGATGATACACTAAAAAATAGAACATTTCAAAATTACTATGTATGTATGTATAATCTCTGTGGTGCATGTTCTTAAATTACATTAAAGCCAATTTAAGTAAAAAATTAGGTGATATTTTTTTATGTGGACATTAGTACCACTATGTAATTGAGATTCTTACCTACATGGTGCAACATAAATAGTAGCACTTTCAGGGAACATCTGTCCATCATCCTTAAGGAACTTATCTCTAGCTACCAGCACCGAATCCAGCATCCCCTCATGCAGTAAGTAAAATCCCATCCATTCAGACACTATCACATCCACTTTGATGTTATTTGGTAAAGTGACATCTTCTACTTTGCTGTGAATTACCTGAATGTTAAATATACATTATAGACAGCTGCTTAAATCAAAGGTATTTTCATAACTATTACAAAATTCAGCCACAATTGTATCATTTTTTTAAATTAGCTATGGGAGTACTAGGATACTAATCAATAATGTTAGAGCCCTAATTATTATTACGAATGTGAAAGTAAATTTATGAAATTTCACACTTAGTCTATTAACATGATTATGATCAATTTTATTATGGAACTACTTCAGACTACTTTTTCTTGCAGAAGAACTATATATTAATTAATGAGATAATTTAATTTTTAAATGAAATAACATATATATAATTCTCTACCTTACTCATAGGTGGTCGACCATATTCCAATGGGTTCTAAAATGGTTTGAAAACACAGTAAGACCCAGTATGTGGTGCTACTTTTCCTAGTTGGGCGACATCTAGACATATAAGTCCACTAATAGAGTGTACATTAAAATGCATTACTTTCAAACTTACTTCAATAATGTCTTCATAATTATTTTCTTTGACTATTTCTTTAGCTAACTTTGCAATATTACTGGCTTCAACTGCATAAACCTTCTTCGCGCCAGCTTGGGCACAAAATATAGATAAAATTCCTGTACCACATCCAACATCCATTACTGTTTTGCCTTTTAGGTAAGATTTATTACTCATAATTGCATCTTTGTATGCTTGGTTTCTTGTTTCATCTTCAAGCATTAATTTGTGAATCTAGAAATGTAAAGATAAAATAATATTACATAAATATTTTTACCATGTGTCTTATGAAGTAGGCAGGGATAATTAGGTACTGAAATAACCAACCTTAGCCTAAATGATTCGTGCTTAATTTACATTCATAATTTATTTATTTATTAAATAACCTGTCTCCTGATAGTAAACAGTAACTATCTTCTATATACATAAACACTAATACTCATGTATTCCCATTGCCAAAGAACTCAGGTGTCATTATGGTGTAATTTCACGGACATGTATATGACTATCTTTAAATGCTAGAGCTTATAATGCAAACTGCTTGGTGGCAGAAGTAGGCGAGAGCGAGCAGATTTATAGCAGTGTTTGTATATTTCGTATTATATGTACAGTTATTATATTTAAGTAATTTACAAAAACTAACCTCCAAATCTTCATAACTTTCAAAATAATGAGCTTGATCAGATTCCATTCTAATTATTTAAATTATAAATATATATAATAAAGCACAACAATTAAATTATTAAAAACAATATTTTTTAGTTACACATGAAATATATATACAATATAATATTTATAAATTGAGGCACCGCTGGATAATAATATTTACATCAATTTACATACAGATATTTTATATTTGTGATTCTGTGCAACTGAGTTCAACTGACTTCCACAGACACAGACCAAGTCAGAGTGACAGAAACTTTGTAATTCTCTGTCTGAGGAACTTTCTATAGTGATCGGAACCATAGAGGTAGAAATCTCGTCAATTCGCAGTTCACTTCAATCTTCAATCAAATCAATTTTCATTCTCTTTTTGACGCAGTTCATTCATGCTTTCTTGCAATATCTGGTAATGTTTTTGTATTTGTAGTTTATTAAAGTTTTGTAGAAAATGTACAAGAACTAACCTATAGGAAGTTAATTTTGCAATAATGGCTAAAGAAGGTGACATGTCACTTTTCAATGATGTGCTGGAACCGTTTAGGAGGGTTATAAATACTGACCCGCCAAAGGAAAAACTGTCGGCGTCTTCAAAATTGAATTTCTCCGATACCAATCAATCTATAAAAGAAGGTACCCATTTTACATACCATCCTATTTGTGCAATAGTTTCTGGAAAATTATATTTTATATAAAACCTTTATAATGAAAATTTTCCTAGGTCTATCTAACCTTCTTTCTTTGGGTAAAAGAAAGTCAAGTATTGGAGCGGGGGAAGTTACTACACCAGATAAAAGGATACGTACCGAAGCCTCATCTAACACAGTATCCGTTCCCCCATCTCCATGGGAAGCGAAGAAGATGAAGATTGATTTAATAGCAGCTAAAGCTCAGGTAGAAATATCAAACTTCATTTGTGTAAAATTCAGGCAGGCTTCAGATCTCACACTCTTATATTCTGTGCCATTTTATATCATCTAAAGAATAATCTTATATATAAATCAGTAATTAAATTTTAAGATTACTTATTTTATTAGCATATTGTTTTATTAGATCACAAGGCTTGAGGCTCGTGTGAACCACCAACATACTATTCGCAAGGAAATGCAGATCTTGTTTGAAGAGGAAAAAGTGTCTCTTATAGAACAGCAAAAAAGGGATGAGCGTGCTATAGCTGATATGGAAGAGCGGCTACAAATCATAAGACGCAGGGAACAAGAACTTAAAGATGAATTTAGTGAAGTGAGTACTGTAGTTTTATGTGCTGAGCATTTACATTATGTTTTGATAAGTATCTTTATGTCAAGTTCCTCATGGTTTATGAATATTATTATTTGTGATTAGCGTAACTCTGATTATTTAGTTTTAGTTATTTTAGTTATTTTTAAATAGGTTCGTCCTGTGAAAATGAGAGATCTTATTTGTCTGCAAAATATTATATAACCATATAGATCAGTAAGATAGTCAACTGTAAAATAAGAGCCCAATTTACAATATTATTGTATTGTATAAAAAACAATACAAATATAAGTAGTTACTTGAGGTCTGTGATGCCAGATTAGTATACATATATAAGTATGTATGTTGGATATTTAGCCTATTTATATATGTGACATTTCCGTGAAAATGAGAGATTTTATTTGTCTGCAAAATATTATATAACCATATAGATCAGTAAGATAGTCAACTGTAAGATGAGAGCCCAATTTACAATATTATTGTATTGTATAAAAAACAATACAAATATAAGTAGTTACTTGAGGTCTGTGTTGCCAGATGAGTATATATAAGTATGTATGTTGGATATTTAGCCTATTTATATATGTGACATTTTTTAAAAATTTCGTATGAATACCCAGATTAAAATTTGTGGGCTGTTGATTTTCATTTTCATATGTCTTATTTATTTTAGATTGTGTTCTTGTATTTTAGGCAAACATGATTGTGTTAAAATCTACTTCTAAAATCTACCTATCAACTTGAATTTGTTAAAACAAATTTGTTTCATCCATGGTTAAAATTCTCAATCTACTAACACTGCCTGTGTTGACAACAAAGTGTATGAAACCTAAATAGATTCCTGTAAATAAATAAGTAATAAAACATTGTATTCTAGGCCTCAAAAGAACATAGAGAAATGAAAGCAAATTGGGATAGAGATAAAGGAGAGCTATTGAAACAAATTGCAGATTTAAAAAATAAACTATTGGAGGCAAATGTTAGCAGTAAAGATCAGCTCTCGGAGATGAAGAAAGATATGGATGAGCTGTTACAAGTAAGTGAATTGTATTAATTAGTAGATTATTAGTAATATAGTACTAGTAGTAGTAATATTAGTACTAGATTTCAAAAAACTTCAATTAAATATATATTATATTTAATTTTAGTAAATATTTAGTTTTTTAAAATCTAGAACAAAAATGTCATGTGGATCAATTTACTATCTATTTATGTACAGTAGATGCCAGATATTAAGATGTTGGTTATAGCAGATTGGTTATTACATCTAAATGGAATCACATAGACTGTTTATAATGACCATTTGTTTTTGGTCCCTTAAATATTCTGGTATCTATTTTATTTGTAAACGCTTCACTAATTTTAATAAATGATTGTCAAATTATACCCAGTAGAAATAATAGATATTGTATATAAAACTTTTATTTGCTAAGTCCAATATTTTCATTTAAATATATTTAGATACAATGAATATTTATTATTCTATTTATAATTTCATGATACCTACTAATATTTTGTGTATTTACTTCCTGAATTGCTTCATGCACTTTTTACTCGGTTACTGAAATTACAAGTAACAATGACTAAAACAAGTTAATGTTTTAATACAGGCACTAGAGGGTGCACAGTCAGAAGTAGAGATACTTAAAAAAGAGGTTACAAGACAAACCAACAGAGCTGAACAATGTACATCACTGAGAACGCAACTTGAAAAACAGACTTTTGAGCTACAACAGGTCACAAATAAGTTGAAAGAACTAGAGTATGAGAAAGACTCATATAAAGATTGGCAACAGCAATCAAAGGTAAGTGTTATTAAACAATCCTCCCCTATTTGTTAAATTGCTGCTTGTTTCTTTAATCATCATATAGGAAGTTTGGGTTAGTTGTAAATATTTATAATATAAATTTCAACTAACACGGCATAGTATCCATGAGATTTTGTTGTTTGGTTAAGAGATAGTATGGTATGATGTACACAAAATAAACTTAACCTAAATAAGTTGATAATATATATATCTTTAGATTAGATTAAAAGTAACTTGTTATTGTAGTAATACATAATAATAAACAATTAAAATATTCTGTTTTTCTATTTTTTAACTTTCTCTCTCTCTTTTTTTACATCTAAAAACATTCAATTTGAAATAATATGTACAAATTATGTATATTTTATGCCTCTGCTACGTTGTTAGTTAATAAACTATTATTTTTTCTTTCTATATCTGGCTCTTTTTTCTTATATTTAAATGACGTCATGTTTCAAATCATTTATAGACCGCACAAAAACGCCTCAGCAATATGGCGGAATTAGAGAAGGAAGTGACACGTCTTCGGGCTAATGAGAGATCACTTAGAGATGCTGTGTGCAACAAATTGCTATTAGAGGAACAAGTCCATGTGCTCACTACAAAAGTGGAGGCATTACAACCAGTGCAACAGAAACTACATGAAGCTAAGGTTTGTTGCTTTAGGTGCTAGATTTGATAAAGATTTTTTGGCACAGCTTGGTTGCATAAACACTTACATATAATTATTAGGTGCTTGTGTATAGAAATAGTTGTGGATTATCAAGCATTTTATAATATGTTTGAATTTGTAAATTAAATTAATATAGTTATATTATTCAAAATATTTAGTTTTAACTACACACATTTATGAAATGAATTATAGGTCTAATTATATTTTTTTGTTATTTTTTGTGTTGTAACCTCTTTGATTTGGTCTATCAGGTTAAAATTGCGGCTTTGGAAACATCATTAGAAGAGTGGAAGACAGCAGCCCGTAACCACGGCGTGGAGAACGCTCGTGCCCTCTCATCCGCACTTGAATCTGCTCTTACCAACCAACTCACAGCTACTGCTGGCTGCTCGCAAGCTCAGTCACAATTAGCTCAACTCACTGAGGTATTTGTTTTTTTTTATGCAATTGAAATGGCAAATAATTTGACAGTCCCTCAGGTGTCACGACAGCATGACTATGGACCAAAGCTATAATTAGAGAAAGTAAAGATTAATAGACTTGTTGATATATGTATAATATATAATGACTCTTAAATCAGATACATTAAGAAAATGCCGTAGATATTGAGAACTTCGTCCTTTTTGTCGACTGAAAACAAACAAGATTGTTAGTTCACTAGCTGCTTTACAATTAAAATTATAAAGCAGCAAAGAAATATGAATTCTTATGTATGCGTTTATGTATGTATGATTACATATTAAATTCTTTCTTTGAACTAATGAGGATGCAGCATCATCAAGATTTTGTTCTGATCTATAGGAAGTGGCGACAGCTAAATACGAGCGCGACAAGACTGCAACAAAATTGAACGATCTTCAAACGGTACGCAAGAACCAGGAGAGTCTCATACACAGGTTACAGAAAAGATTGCTGCTCGTCACTAGAGAAAGAGACAGCTATAGGTATGCAATTTCTCTGGACCCCTGCTGCTATTGTACATAATTAATAATTTACATTTTTTGCTGTGACCAGAAGGAATAGTTATTATAGTTAGAAATTGTTAAATGTCGAAATGCAGTGAACGCAAAACCTGACATGTTCAAGAGGCAAGGTCACCGCGATCTCATTGATTGATTTATGAACAACTGTTTCTGTCACCAGAGAGTTTATATTTTTAAATTGAAAGTAATTTTTTTATGGTGGGCAAATTCGTAATCACTATCTGTGGATGTAACGTGGGTCAGAATGTTTTTAATTGTATATTTTATTACAAACTAAATATACCTTTATTTTTGTGTTTGTAACTATATGTGGGTTGAAATAGCATACAGCTGCTGAATTGTTATGAGGAGTCGATAGTAAGGCTATTGTTTATATAATAGTGATTTTTGTGTAGTCCATATGCTTTAATCATAAACCGTATTAACTAAAATATTACAAACATCGTAAAATCGCTTCTAAGACTTTAATCTTAAAGTTGATATTTCAAAATTTGTAATATTGAGTTAATGCAGTTTGTATTAATCGTGTGTCCGGGTACTTGCAGGCAACAGCTGGACTGCTATGAGAAGGAGTTGACGGTGACGTTGTCTGGGGAAGGCGGGGTGGGGGGCGCGGCGCTGGCGGCGGCTCGCATCGAACAGCTGGAGAAGTCGTTGCAGTCCTACCGCGACCTGCTCGCCTCGCTCGACCAGACTGCGCACACCAAGCGTACGTACCCTGCTGGCTTACTGTTATACTGTACCTATTTTGAACTCTATTTCCCACATGCGTCGCATTTGCTTGTAGATCCGAGACCGAGATATTCATGATATAGTAATAATACCCCAGGACAATTCTCACAATGCTAGTATCAAGTAATCAGAGCTTGTGTTATGGGTACTAGACAACTGACTTAAATGTTTAGATATATTTTTTGTAAATAGATAAATAATATACATAGAAAATAGACCGCTAGACCAGCGAGTCACAATCTATATACCAAAATAAATCAAAATAAGTTTAGTATTAAAAGGTTGTATTATTGAAGCACCTCCACAACGCTTATTGACGATACCAATAATCACAGAACAATTATTAATAATCACTAACATACACTTTGTTCTGCAGAGGTGGAGAGTCTCCGTGCAGAAGTGAACAAATGGCGCGAAGAAGCAGAGTCGTTGCGGCGTGACGTACAGAAGCTGCACGCGCAGCGTGACGTACTGCACGCGCACCTCGAGCGGTTGCACGCGCACCCGCCCAACGACAACACCAAGGTATTTTTAATAGCTTTTACGGATCTGGGCACCAGCCGTTTGGAACTTGCTCATTGGTAATAATCAGTGTTACCAAATGTTATTTTTGAAATTATGAAAGTGTGTGAAATACTAAGTATAATTTATATAACATGGTTTGATGCCCATTCCCATAACATATTTATGCATTAGTCATCTCCTAAGTAATGGTTAACAAGTATTCCTAATAACTTTTTTTTATTAAGAAATAATTGTGAACAATTACTTATAACCATAACAACCATAATCATTCAGAGTATGATTGCTTGTTTTAGTGTGGATGTTTTCTATGTATGTATTTACAAAAAACAAATACTATCAGTTGTCCAACACCTATAACACAAGCTGACTTAGCTTGGAACTATATAGCGCTGTGTGAATTGTCCAAGGTTATAATTATTATATTTGTTCTAATTCAGTAATGTGTTTTAAACTAGGTGCTTCATCTAACGGACAATCCAGCTGCAGCTGCGCAGAAACAAATTCAAACCGACTTAGAAGCAGCGCAAGAGGAGGTAAGTTTAAAATTTATAATAATGATCTATGTCTTCAGGACTATCAGGTGCCATTTATAATATACGTTGCTTGATAGGGCCATATAATCTACTGAAATTGTGTGTTAACATTGGTCCAGTATCGTGGATGCAATAGCTACCGTCATTATCAAATGTTTACATTGTGGTGAACGTAATACTTGATTTTTGGTCAAATATTTGGTCACGATCTTTCGACGTAAGCCACTACCGGGCTTACGATTATGATGATGATGTCACGATGCTCTATAAAAGTATTTATTCAAAAAAAAGGACAATTTACATTATGTTTGAATTTAAATATTGTGTGTACATTTTCAATTTATGATAAACACAATAGAGAGTTAACGTCGTAAGGAGTCTGTCTGTCGAATTCTTTATGTTTAATAAAGAATTCGTTTTCATAGTGTTGTTATGGAGAGAAAAAAAGAAAAATATACCTATATACCTTTAATGTATAAATATAATACACCAAAAATGTATTTTACATGTAAATAACAGTTTCTATGCCAATGTTGAGATATTGATTGATATTGTTGACCGGAATATTTATACAAAATGAATTTTTTTATGATGTGTAACATTTAACAAACAGATAAAAAGACTGACCGCAGCATTGCGAGAGGGTGGGAGCGTCGCGTGTCCGGAGGAAATGCAGCAGTTGCGACAACAACTTGAAAATAGCCGTATTAAATTAAAAAGGTGACAGTTTGTTTTATATAGCATATGGACAAAAGTAATTGTGGCACACCTGATGGTAAACGATTAAAGTATCCATAACATCAGGGAAATTAGGGGTGAGTCGTCGGCTTTGAAAGGAAGAAGGGATAGGGAGTTAAAGCAATTATGAAAGAGATTGGAGGGGACGATGGGTGTCCGAAACCTCAATTCATCATTCGACAAGCAATAACACTTTAAGCCGTTATTTTCGTACAGCCATGCGAGGTTATATAGCGTACTGACTATTCATATTCATATAGCATGCCATTTGTATTTTCTGTTTGATTTTTCACATTTACAATACTATAATTTTGTATTTGATTCGGTTCCAATAATGTTTATAATGTTAATAACTTTATTTGTAATTGAAGATTATGGAATGGTCTCACGCATGCCCTTGGAGATTAACCTAATGTAGTACCTATGTATAATGTCTCCAAAGCATATATAGATTTTAGAATATACGAATATACAGATTATAATGATAGCCCTGTGCTTGAATGAAACGCCATTAGTGTTATAAATATATGCTATAATTTTCTCTTACAGAATGAAAGAAGAATACACATCGTGCGCCCAAGAATACAAAGATGTTGTCTATATGTTATTAGGTTATAAAATTGATAGGACTGGGCATAACAATTATAGGTAAGAATAACAAACTTTATCATTATCATTATGTTCCCACTATTACGCATGGATCTCTCGTTGTAGGTGAAGGAATTAGCTTTCTTTTTACTACGCACGCTAATAGATAACAGCTCTATGAATGCAGCTGATATGAATTTGTTACGCTATACTACTTATAAGTTGCCCTGAGGCTAGTGTCATGCCTCCATAAAGTTTAATTGTGTTCATTGCCGTATCTAAACTTTTATATCGAAACACAGCTTAAGCACGCGGTTTGGTAACAGGTAACATCGTGTATAGAGGTAACCAAACAGATAACTTTACAAAACGTCTTTCTTGAAAATGAAAAATATATTAGTAAGGGGCTATCCATAAATTACGTTATAGGGAGGGCGGTACAGGGTAGTTGTTGCGGGTGAGTGATACTATGTTGTTGGTCGAGACGATGTATATTATAGATGATAATAAACTGACAATATGTACATAGAAATATTGATCTTATATACTAAATTACAATAGGAAAATGTAAAGTGGGGTGACACAGTTTAGACACAGCAGTGCTTAGTAGACAATATTGAATTTGTCTTACTAGGCATTATTAAATGCAATTATTATTTTGATGTATCTAGGTGACTGTGTCCCATAGTAGTCATAAAGTTCGTGTGAAAAGTCCTAAACAATAGGAGTCTCACCATCTTAGAATGGATCTTTAATTTTTGTTATTCAAATTAAATTTTAGGATTAAACCATATAATTAAATAAATTCATTTAAATAAATTCTTATTATTAAAATTGACCGGGTAGGGGAGGTTTAAAAATTACTGAAATAGGTCTGATTTACTTTATTCATGAAGAAATCAACAATTAATGTAATAAAATCTTTTTCAGAATTTCAAACATGTACGCAGAATCTGCGGAAGAGTATTTAACATTCACTCTGTGTGAGGATGGTATAGAAATGGTGCAAACTGACTATGCGGAAACGCTGTCCGAGTTGGTGGAACTCCATCTACAGCATCACCGGTCTATACCACTATTTCTAAGTGCGCTCACCATGAACTTGTTTACGAGAACCACAATGCAACAGGACGAACTCGAGTGAAGTGCTAGTGTTTGTGTATCGGCCAAAATTACATAGGTGTTTACATTTTTTTAATATTAATTTTAAGGACTACATAGGTTTTTCAATGTATACCACAGTTTTACAATTATGCAGTTGAATGGATGATACTAGACTGCGTCAATGAAGCTTAAATGCGTTTTTTAAATGATGATGGAATAGTGAACCGCTTGAGCTAGCGCTATGTTGGCGAGGTACCGTATAAAGGTTGATCCGATAGGTTACATTTGGGGCTATTAGACTACCTCCTTTAGCTATCGCTTAAACGTGGTTAGTTCATCGAAACTGAGTGCGGAACGCGCATGAACGAAATTGGAAATAATTTAATTTATATGAACTTATCACTTCTTTATTTTTAGTCTGGGCAGATCTACATAATAAATTAAACGAAAATTATTTGTTTAGGTGATGTTACAGGTCTTTACTATTTAAATAATCCTTTCATGACTACTAAACTAAATTAATTATTAAATATAAGAGCTTCTCTCTCGTCAGTGTAATCTTCTTGGTATAATACACGAGTATAATACACGAGTCCTTCAGTTGAGTTTTTTCTTGAAATCCTTTTAGGAGATAATTACAAATAGAAATATTTGAAATCAAGACAATGTTTTTTAACTTAAATAAATAATCACAATTTTTAGGCTGTGGTATTATAGGGTAATGTAAACTGTGGTTACAATAAGTGAAATATAATTTAAAAATCTCGCAAACATTCACGCTCTGATTTTTACAAATGACTTATGAGATCGGTTTTCTTATAGGTACGATGTTTTGCCGGTTTCGCGACCGGTAGGCACAAACAGTAGTTTAAATATATTAGGTGTCACTATAATTTATGTAGGTATTTACTATTTAATAGGGACCCGATATGTTAGTATAATTACTTATATTAAATGTATTAAATTTATAATAACACTCTTTCAGAAAGGTGGTATAAATACATTATTAAACAATACAGTACGAAGTAATCTCTGTCCCTGTAACAAAGTTAAATTTCAAAAATAATAGATTTTCATAATTTGACTGACTATTTAAAAAATACTATTAATGTGAACTGAAATTTTACTCATGTAATAGTATATAGTAATAGTGTATGGTAAATGTATATTCTTAAACCTTTCAATCTCCGTTGGTTGTTGCCTACGTAACATTAAAAAGACGTGATACTGGTTACGTTTTTAACTACTATAAAAATGTCCAAATCGAACTTAACTGTCAAAATCCAAAATTATAGTAATAATAAAAATAACCTAGGATAATTCATATACATCAACGACATATAGTCCTAAAGTACCCAACACTACTAATATGGGTATTAAACATTCGAAGAATTGAACCTGCAATCATGGAAAGTAAGGTTCCGCTGGATTACCCAGGCCGGCATTAGTGTAGTAATTTATTGTAAACTCAATTGATAGTGATGTAATGCTAAATAAATGTCTTTAATTATTATTACGAATTTCATTGCATGAATATTTCAGCGTTTCATAAATGTAGTTTTAAAATAATCACTATTCCGAAGTATAAAAAATTATTACAAAATTTTTGAAGATATTAATTGAAATATGTGTCAGTTGTAGAATTCATGTAATGCAATATCACTTTTAATATACGTTTATCATTAACTTTAAGTAATCGTTTATTGTAATATCAATAACAAATGTGCTGTAGTTTTAAGTCATTATTTGATACTATAGCGATATTTCAATAATACCTAATATATATTTATGTATGTATATGTACCGCATGCCATTTATTTTTGTTAAATATAATTAATTTCTATTTAACATTGTTATGTCGCCCATTAGATCACTTTTTATTTAAAGTACAAGCTGATCAAATAGCGACGGGGATACTTTAGTTTTTTGCTTTGACGAAATTTCAAGTTACATTAATTAACCTGAAGAAAGTTTTAACAATTTCTCATAGCAGTAATTACGTGCTAGAAATTTAAATTAATATTTTTTGCTAGTATTTTATATTCAGTTCTATTTGGTTCAAGTCAAAATTGAAATTGTGACCATGTCGAGTCGATCGAATTGACCTGATCCTAGAGTGAACTGTCAAATTTTTTGTTGTCTGTTGGGTGTCAACATTAACAAAGTGATAGAAAACACACAAAAGTGTTGTAATTTGGAAATGAATGGACTGTTTTGAAGATAATATGGCTAGAAAAGGAGTGAATATTAGAATAAGTGCAGATAGATATGAAACTAGACTGTATTTACTTGAACATACGTTAGATATTCGAATAACAGTATAGGTACCGCTCTGTCAGTACATGTTCTTTCTAACAATTTTGTAGTATTAAATACATTCATCATTTCACTGAGTTCATTATGTACATAATTTCATTACTGATAATTTTTTTATACATAAGTATAGTATTACTATTCTTTCTGTATTCATGCCTGGTTTATGAGGTAGGCAGAGCAAACCGACTGCATAAAGCTTGGAAAGAATATATTTATAAGTATCATGTTTTTGTATGACCATTTTCTGTATAAAGTGTTGTGAAATAATTTCTCTTTAGTGTATATATAATGTCAATGAAATTTTTAATAGTACGTAAGTCAAATATAAATAGTCTCAGCAGATAAAAAATGTGAAAAACTTAGACTTTTTCACTATTTATTTATTTATTGGAAAAATAAACTGCCACAGGTTAGCTATCTCGTTTCTGATTGCTTGTCATATTTCTAACTATCAGAATGTTCGAACTGCCAAAATATGACTTACGCACTGTTGGAAATTTACTGAGAAGGAAACTTGTTTTGATATGAGTAATTACTGAATGAAAACCTTGTGGATGCGATCCTTTGTTAGCAAAATTACGCACTATAGCTACTGACATTCCAATAAACAATTGTTAAAATATAACATTGTGTCACATTGATCGATAAGCTATAATAAATATGCTATTAAACGTGTCTCCAAAATAAATACATTTTTATCATTTTATATAGAAATCAATAGTTAAATATATAGAAATATAGATCCATTGTATGCAAGAATTACTTGCAAGAAAATCATCTCAAATCAAATCAAAATATCTTTATTCATATTGGTCTATTACAGACTCTTATGATATGTCAAATCTGCAGTTTGGAGTGCTTTCGAGCTGAGTAGAACATATTGTTTACAATAAATCTGTTTCATTTTTAAATTCAAAATCTAGTATTCTATTCAGGTGTAAAAAAGAGGTCGAGACGACTTTTGTATGTTATGAAATAAAAATTGTATTCAATATTATTTTGTATATGTTGGTTTGTAGTTCTGTAACAATCAATCGTAAAATATCAGTAGGTAGACCGTATTTCCTTTAATTCGAATGTTAGCAGAACTCTTGGCTTCGTTTCCTTATAACTGTTTTGTCAACCGATTGGAACAAAACAAATACAATTTTTTTTGTGAAACTAACAGTGTGAAGTTAACAATATGCCAATCGAAACTGTTCAACTGTTATGTTGAAATCTAGAGCATTGAATTGAAATTTCCTCGGTGCACTGTGCTGTTTCTGCACTTTTCTTAGGGCTGCCCACTGCGTATGTAAAACGTTGCTAAAACTTCAAAAAACGTTGTTAAAGCTTCCCACTCACCTCCTCCCAATAGTAGTTTTTCTTATAGACGTTTGTCTATCTGAACAATATTGAACCGATTGCTGTTTAGCAATCGGTTACTTTTTTTATTATACTTATACCTTATAGATATATTTTTAGTAATGTAGATAGACTCTTGAGTATTTGTTTCTCTTACATTACTGACGATAACTATATTTCTCATACTCATAATATATATATCCTATTTTTCTTGGCTTAATTAGTCGAAAAGCAGAGGTGCTAAAAATAAGAAAAGGACAATGTGAATAAAAATGCGATGATTAGTGTAAAATATTTATGAAGAAACAAGGACAATATATTATACATCTAATGTTTGCAATGAATTTAACTACAACAATTTAGTATTATTATAGTCAGATACAGTTAACAACTTTAATAGCACTAGGAAATAATTGACAAGAGCCAGTATGCATTAGTCGATCCACATTCTATATAATATAATATACTTTTTGAAATATATCTAACCATACATTCACAATCGTAATACGAAGAAGAATCAAACATTACACATGTAACCATACATATTTGGCTTCCTATACGTACCTATTTTTAAACATCTTTGGATTTTTTTGTGTACAAATAGGTACTTAGTCGTGTCATGTCTAATATATTGGGTTAGTTATATTTACGCGAGGTTTTAATGCTATTTATATTGTAACTTTCACCATCTACCTTGATAAGTAAATCTTAAGAAATAATAAAATTTACATGGGGAATGCAAATGGGAAGATTAAAAAGAATACATATAGAGCAAGGCATGGAAAGTATTTTTTTGTAGCCTGAAACGTTTTGAAGGGCTGATGCGGGTCTTAAACTATATATAGAATACGGTATAGATTTCTTTATAGCTATAGCTATGATTCGGGTCACATGCTTGCCTATAAAATTTAGATTTCATACTCCAAAATGGATTAAAAAATGTTGTGTCAAGTAGCATTGGAATTTTAAAGTAAATAAACAAATACCACGATATGGCAGCAGTCATTTTACCCACAAAAGTCTAATGTACAAGTGTTTTGGTTTATAGTTTACATCAAATTGCTTGCGAACTTTAAATGTTAGTTCATTTATGTTGTGATTATTAATCAGTAAGACGATTTTAAGAGACGTGATGATATTACATATTCTTCTGCATAGACTTTAATGAATCTATAAACATTATGCATTGCAATTCATAATGTTTATAGATTCATCGGGGGTTATTAATCCTTAATAGTGCACTATTAAGGATTAATAACCCGTCCAGGTAGTGTGCTATGCCTCACGAGCATAGGGCAGGACACTTGATGGAAGAAGGGATGACAGATGCAAGAACAAGTTTAATATACTATACTACGTCTCAGTTGACAAGTTATTATGTAGATAGTACCTATATATATGAATGCCATTGAACTTTATGTCAAAGCCATACCCAAAAATAAAAAATAATGTTTCATGTAAAAAAAAAAATACTATTACTCGCCCCTAAAGTGGAACTTTAGTTATATGTTTATATTATTACTGGCTATAATTCGGACTTTGTCCTTATGGAAACTTATTATGAGCTAAGACACAAAAAAACAAAATAATGAGATTCAGTTGCGCATGTACCTTTTAATTATTATTGACTTTATAGAAAGTTATTACAATTCTCTGAATTTTCAGCAGTTTTTAACATTAGTAATGAAATTATATAGCATTTTTTTAGTTTCGGAATGTTATCCTGTGTTGTCGTTAAGAATGGTAGATATGTATGACGCTGAAAAATAAGGACAAATTTTTATTAACAAAAAGTAATGAACGTTTTTTGATGATGATAATACATAATTCATAATGATGATAATCAATAATACATAATTATTGTTGATCGTTTTTTATGGTATCTTCATCAAAATAGTTTTTATTTCCTGGAGTATTGGAGTGCTTTCACTATAGCCATATCGCATTAGTTATGACGTATTTAATTACAAGGCTCTACTCTATTACAAATATTAATCAGTATTCTTTATATATTTTTGTGATGTTAGCTTACTATACCTCGAGTGTCCAGCCACAAAATCTGATAAATCAACTAAATGGTTGCATTAGTTTTAGCATTAAACATTTGTTTGGCAGATTTTATCGCGTACGCACGTTAATAAGTATACTCAACGTATTTATGAGGTCCGCAGGCGAGGTAGATTTTATTATATATTTGTTAGATTGTGATGTATCATGCAATGCCATATAGCTTTAAGGGAGAAGAAAAATATAAAAAGAAGAACATTCCTCGTCTGTGCAGGCCTTAACTAGGACGTAGGTAGTTCAGTTTTGGCGATGTGTGCAAACCTTAAAAATTCTGTATGGATTGAATGCCTTGCCACTCTCCTTACTAAATAAACATTCTGTCAAAATTCTGGTTTTTCTGTATTACTTAGTACAACAATTTTAAAATAATGTGAAATTACCAACGGAAAACACGAAACACCTCTATTAGATATTTAAAAATGTGTAGTGTAGGTGTAATTATAGAAATAATGGCCTTTCGATTAACGAGAGTTTCTGAAACGAACATACAAAATATATTAATATGTTATACAAACTTTTAAAATATTTAAAGCTAAAAAGGACGCCAAGAAAGTGGCGTCTAGAGTGTACTAAAAGTGGCGTCATACTATGTCCTCTTTTAATTCACTATGACAAATCCACAAATAGTAAATAACTCGTACAAAAAAAAACACTTGGAAATTATATTGGAAATAATTTAAAAGTAACAATAAATTACTTTATCTTTATCTACAGTCTATCAGTAATCATTAAACATCACTTAATTTCCAATGTAAAACGTTTCGAAAATAAAGATATTCTAAAAATCTTACATACACGTAATACTGACAACGTATTCGATAACACTTCAAAAATGTCCCAATCAAAATGTACGAATATATACGAAACTCGATTCATTTGAAAACGCAAACAAAACAAAACACGTAACATAAATTTTCATACAATTTTCAATAGTATTATTGCACTAGACTTCATAATTATTCATAACTTAATAATAATAAATATTGCATTAAGCGTTAACCACGTTTCGTGAATTAAAATTAAGTCCTATACTAAGAGTTAATAATTAAAAAGAACAATTATGTCAGTTCGATGAAAGTGTTGCTATTTCATTTCATCCTAAAACAAGCATCGTTCGCAGTGACTTTCAACAAGACGGAAATTAGAATTTCATTAGATAGTATCTCTAAATTCCAAACATTGTGCTAACTACACTTATGAAATATTTTGACTAAATATTAAGTACGATTTGGTGCTCAAATTTAATAATGTAAGTGTTAATTATTAAAAACTATTTATTATTTATCTACAAAATCCAAAAACGTGCATTCAGAATAATTTTGTTTAATACTATAATATAATACTATCTAAGATTTTTAAGTCCGGTAATTGTGGCACGTAAATGACTTGGCGAAGCAGTCGTTTGGTGCTCTTTGATACTCTCGCTACATAATAACGTTACTTATATAATTCATATAAAGTCGAAACTAGATGAAACATACAAATTTGAATATTATATTTTGGACACTGGTATGTAGATTTGTATTTTAAACTATTTACTAGATATACAAAAGTAGTAATCATTTCTAAGTTATTCTATTATAGGTCTACCCTTTGGATGAAGTTTTCTTATGCATAAAGAGACATCTTCATATGACTTCATATTTTATTTTGAAATGTACAGTGTTTGTTTATTTGGGGTAATTTGCTTTATTTTAAAAAATAAAGCAAATTACCTCTACTCCAGAACAAGAATATTTTTTATGAATTATTTGACCAATTCTTCGGTAAATGCAGAATACTTTGGTTGTTTGGTTATACATCTGGGCTAGGATCGTATTATCATCGTTTTTAGAAGTTCGTCGGTCGAGCGAGTCTTAATTGTATCTCTAATGAACACCTACGAAGCTAACGGCTAAATCTACAAGTTTATGACTATAGGACGCGCTTCGGGTCCAAGTCTGCTTCTTTCCTCCCACGAGTTACACTAATGTCCGTTGTATTTTTACCTGAGAAACAAAATTTACCATTTTAGAATTATTCAATACTATATTAGATCAGTAAAATACAAAGTACACATTTTGATAGGCTATCCAGTAACTCAACTTTAAGCGGAATATGGGACGTGGGCGAATTGCAGCATAACTGGAAAACTATCTTTTATTCGATAGTTTTCCAGTTATGCTGCAATTCGCCCACGTCCATGACAATAATTTTCATGTATGTGTACGGGATATTCTGTATAAGAAAGTCTAACTATTTTTGTGTGATTATTGTTGTTATTAGCATTTATCAAATGACGTTATTTTTTTTAGTAACCATATATCATAAAGTAATCATTTGATACATGGATGTGCATAAAGCATATTGGACGCTAAAGCCATAGCCATAGCTAAATTGGATAGCCATATTGGGTTATAATGACGTCAGTTATTATCTTACCAACTAAATGTACATGTAATATTTGTGGTCAAACAGTTTAGGTTAGCTTTAAAACTATCACAGGAAACATGGCAATTTCAATAAAAGCTTATTTAGAATTTCTTGTCGAAAACACGAATACTAAACGCATCATGGATATGGAAAGCTGGATACCTTTGCAAGGGCCAGGATGTAAAGGGTCAACGACGCGACCGGCGTGACAGGCGGCGCGCTGGAGCCGGCACCAGGAGGGGTAGGTGCGGGCGTCCGAGCCGCAGAGCGGCCGCCTCGCGCCGCCGCCGCCCCCGCACGACCCGCACGACACGCACCGAGCGCCGCTCGCGCCGCCCGCCATGCACCGCTGCCCCAAGCCACACCGGATGTTCGCGCATGTCGCGTTAGCTACATATACATTTATCATCAGTTTCTATCAGTCAGGTAATCAGCCTTCAGGGGAGAAGTGGATTGTTAGTAATATGGATTAGTAACCTCATTACTAAAATTGTATCATCACGTTGACCTCCACGCGATTCCAGGGAAACCATCGTAGTAGATTGCCATTTGCCAAATTAATTTTCGCCATGGAAACCAAGTAATTCATCGTGATGGGCTAACTGACCTGACCTCATTCGCATCTTACAATCCTCCAATCCTTCACTGGTGCCCCACCAGGTTGTACAATCAGCGCACGCGGGTACCATTCGATTTTCAAAAATATACCAGCTTCTACTGAAATCGGAAAAGTAGGTAACCAAATCGTAACCATTATTAATCATAAAATCCTGTCATTGAAATCGTTTCAAGAACTTAAGCTACATGATCCTATAGGCAATACAAAGCGAACGTACAAATATATTTTTTATTTCAATACTAATAATAGTCTTAAAATTTTTATACCACCTTTAACTCCACCTTCGATTCTTCTTTTAATTTGAATGACTTCCACTAAATCACCTTGTAAAGCGACATTATATTGACTATATTTTTTATTAAAATAAACTTGACACTATTAAAGTTTTTTTTACTCTTCCGATACATACCATAAATTCAGACAAGATAAGAATAGGAAAGAAACTGGACACTGGAATCCTAGTACCTACGAGCAGGGCAGTAGATACTCATTCGCCTAGAGAGACTAAAACATGGATTTTCCTTAGTAAAAAAAAACATCACAACTTACCTATACAAGACCCTCGGTACGCAAGTGGTAGCGCTCTACCCCGCTCACAAGCGGCTTTCCTCAGGGCACAAACGCCCGCGTACGTTTTCCCGTCGACTGCACACACAGGCGGTCCTGCCACGTTGCATCCACCGCACCGCACGCAGTGCGCACCCAACTCTGCGTCCAACACGCACCGTTTCTCGCCGCCACACCGGACTAGATCGCAGCTACCCTCTGAGGAAATAATTGTTTTATAGGTAAAAAAGTATTGTTAGTCTAGTCTATAATACAGGTACTATTATAGACTAGACTGGCCGCGGTTTCACCCGCGGGAAATTTATAGCCTATATGTTATTCTGATGTATAACCTATATGACTGTAAAGTTTCATTAAAATCCGTTCAGTAGTTTTTGCTTGAAACAGTAACAAACATCGATAGTCACAAATTTTGCGTTTATAATATTGTATTATATTAAGATTAAAATAAGATAAATTGGTAAATTATAGCTCTTAGTGGAAGAAAATTCTATTACGTATAATATATAAATAAAAGTTTTTGCCATTGTATTAGTTAGTTATTGCTTACTACATTTCTTTTTATTTCTCACTCTACATTCGACTGTAAAATGCACATTTTAGTCCTTTTTTTTTAAAATAAAATGCGAAAAAAATTATATAAAATATTAATTCTTACACTTCTTTTACACAGGACATTTTATTTTAGTGCCTTCACCATATTGAATATATGAGCCAAGGTGTCTTATTCACCTATTTCATGTGTAAGCTATCCTTAATTGTTAGTTAGGCACGATAAAGTCAATTAACATTTATTATTTACTTTTAGGTATGAGCAAAGTATACTTAAAATTATTCCAGTACTGTAGTTACTCGTACCGGACGTACGGAATGCTAATGTGTGCGATCCGCTCCGTCCGGCCTACACAAATATAAAATTATGTGGATATATTACTGAAATATGAAATATTTATTATGTGGATATCATCATCGGGGAGTGACATCGAACTGAATCTTAGACATCAAATTACCGCATAAGGCTTTAATGTTCAAGTATGAGTAGGTATATACACAAGCAAACTTTTCCGACAGATCAGACATGACAGATCATGGGATGGTAATTGGCATCCGTTATCTATATATAAGAACCGCCATGAACAACATATCATCTAACTCGCGTCTATTCGTATTCGTATTCGTGCATTACTATTCTGGGGACTAAGATGCCATGACACTACCCTGTATTTATACTACCAGCATTTCAACTGAAACAGCTTATATACTCGTAGCAAGATGCGTGGCGGTTGAATTAGGTGAAACATAGTACCTGCTACTCGGGACGATATTCTACAAAGTGTACCTCGGTAGATAAATGGTAAGCCTAAGATGTGAGAACTGCTGTTTAGATCATGAACAAAGCCATCAAGTGTCTATAAAGTTGCCGTAACACTTATAATAATGATTATAGCGTTGGTCCTTCGAGCCAGATAAAAAGTTTACTGACACTGCGCGGTAATAAAGAGGAAATACGACGTCTAATGTAACATAATAATGGAGTAGAAATCAGACAAACAAGCAACCAGCTTGTAAATATCAGACGCTTTTCCTAGTCGATTGTATCGTATTGCGGTTTATAGACCAGAGTTAGTCTGGCCATTGCAGCGATCATGTGCCTACATTTAGAGTTTAAATTACAGCGAATATATTATATTTAAAATTGTAGCTGGTTGTATGTAAATTCAAACCCGCGGCAATGTTGTGATTGCCAGCTAGTTTACTTGTGATTTTTTACATAGATTTTGTGCACACCATCAAAGTAAGAAGCATAATATTTTTATCTTTAATATTCCAAATTCAGATGTGTGAATTTAGAATATTAAAGATAAAAATATTATGTTTTGAAGAGCAGGACAGCTTTGTAACGAAACATCTATTCATTCTTTAAAAAATATATTAACACTACAACCTAACAAAGAGACTCCTTTTCCTAAGAGCAACTCTTATCTGTATTGTTTCAATTAATCAGGTTATATTTATCGCGTATTTTTTCAGCCCTTGTTAATGCAGTTATATAGAAAACTGAATTCATAATCGTATATTATTTTACTATTTATAACAGCTGTTAAAGGTGATTGGCAAACAATCATCAAGAACAGTTTCGTGACTTGTATTCAGTAGCCTTTCAGTTTACTTGATACCTCCTGTAGAATCGGGCAGCGATATACATACCTAATATAATTTGAAATATAAAAATAAAGAAATGATATATACATTTGCGTGGGCAAGAATGTAGGTATCACTGACATATCAAAAGACATAAAAACATAACAAAAAAAATTAAATTTATATTTTATTTATTTATACTTAATATATTGGCTTATTTATTTACTTATAGATTTAAATTTATTTACTACATTATAATTTACTTTATCTTATCAGTAGGACATACTTTAATTAATTTATATTTTTAAATACCTATACCCTACTGAACTAATACCAGAAACTCTTTAAAATACGTGAAAAGGACTTTTGTTCTTGATTTATCAACTGTTCAGTCTACTTATAGTATTTTTACCTAGGGGGAATGTATTGTTAGTATTAGCAAGTATCGCCATTAGAGGCAATATATCTTAACAGCTCAACTTCCACGGTATGGAAACAATCATCTATAATTACTGGTGAATATGCCTCAATGCGCTAACTGATTTGCGCATTCCATCATCCTCCATTGTTGCGCCGCCAGCGTACAAACAATAGTGCTTGCATTATCAATAAAAAAAGTATTTTACTAACTGCTGATAAGCGACGATTTCATTATAAATAAATATAAGCCCATCCTACTCAAATAACTAATCGCAGTGGAGTTTTGTCCGATCGAATTCTCAAAGCATGCACGAATTTAACCAAACAGCTATCAATTTTATTACCTACATATCTGCATAAATAAAATTGCTCAGTTACATGGCTTTTAAGTTTTAACACTTAACGATGCTGCTAATTTATTCAGGTAATTATATTTTTTTCGAATGATGCAATAAAACAGTGTAAGCTGAGTATTTTAAACCTAATCTAATCTATATTTAGACTCGTTAGCTTCTTTATTTTTTACATATGCTTATTTATATACAATTAAATCGTAAAATCGTCATAAATATATATATGTAATATATATAAATATATATATATATATACGTATATATAAATATATATATACACATTAATATTTTATGTATAATACAAAGGTAATTATGAAATTTTCACAGGATACATTAAATGTGGATCAAGATATAGGTTAATGAAAGTTAGTATGTTTATTTTAATTGTATTTAAATTTTCAATACACCTCTTACAATTGTATTGATTAATTCATGAATCAAATAATATATGGTCTTGTGTAACAACAAGCAGAACGTAACGTTCTGCTCACCATCAATAGCTGGCCATTCATAAATGTACACGTGGGGCGGGAAGGGAATTGTTAGTAATGAGGTCTAGTGTCCCCTTTGCTGGCAATGTAGCATGTTAGGTCGACTTCCACGCGATTCCCTTTGGAAACCTGGTTAATTAACCAGTAATTACTGGTTATGTAATAACGATATGCAAACTGACCTGACCTCTGCTCATTTTATCATCCTCCATTTGTGCCACACCAGCGAAAAGCGTTAGCGCCGCCCGCCTGGTTCACCATTCCATTATTATCCATGAAAGAAAAATGTACACGTGCACGAAGTCGCGGGCACTACTAGTATATTAAAATAAGTAGGTACCTACGTTTCATTGTAGGAATTTGTGTTGCGGTAGCGAGCAGAGGCGAGTCTATCCGCTCATAAAATGCGATAAAGCGGTTTGACGGCGATTTCGCCTCGATATTATCGCGAACGCAAAATTATTCATAGTATGCAAAGGGGACGTCTGGTTTACTTTTAAACTGATGGTATTCTAATTTCACTTTGCTATGATATATTTAATGTTGAGCTTAGAATACCTGCAGTTAGAAGTACTGGTAGGTGTGGTAATGTATGGTAAACGGAAACCCTATATACATGAACATAATGGACATAATTTTACCAAGTGCCACCAACGATAACACTCATGAGTTACCATTCCGGAGGAGTAATATCATGCCCCTTAGGTATTATGTAATTTCACTGGTTTATGCCGAAACCGCCAAGCCGCTTACAAAGCAAGCTGATATAATAATAGTAATCTCAGGAAAATTCACACAACGCCATCTAGACCCAAGTTAAGCTAGCTAAAGCTTGTGTTATGGTTACTAGACAACTGATACAAATACATTGATAATTACTATAATAAATACATTGATATATGTAGATAGCTTCGCAGATGACTTTTTATAAATTCTACTTCGGTATTTACCTAGTCATGATTGCTGAAAGATTCATGTTTGTAGTAGTTTTCTGCCACTTTGGTTTGTACTTACACTTGCAATATTTCTGTTAACACTCGACACCCTTCCATTAGTTTACGATTCCACATAACTTATATAAAGTTCTGTGTAAAATCACGTTACGACTCCGCGTCATATATATTACTAATAACTATGTTATCAATAAACTCACTAATGTAGTTAAATTATTACACCTGTATACTCACTACCTACCTACACCTCATCACATCATATATAATGTTACAGTGGTGAGGTGACAAGCATCGCGCTGCAGGTTTTTCCCACCTCATAATAGAATGCTAGACTACGTCGTGCGCCTCGATTATTTTATTATCGTGTGATTTTTAACGGTCAAAAACAGCACATATATCACCGTTTTCCTCCATGGATGGAAGATATAGAAGATATCCACATCTGAAAAAAAGAGTTTTGCTACTCAATGATTCATTGATGGACCTGTGTGGCTGTTACAGATTTAAACATTTTCCATTGCCAGTTGATACTTAAAATTTAAGAAGGCAAAGTATATGTCGTAGGAAAGGATTGTTAGTAATGTGAATGCCCCAATTACTATTAATGTATCGTATCAGAGCGGCCCTATCGTGCCCTTTGGAAACTAATTTAAATAATAGGTTAATTGCAAGTTACTTCGCTAACAGAGATGAATGTAATTCTATCATCTTTCAGTGGTGCCCAATGGCTATAAACTGTAAATGTAGGCGAGTGCACCAGTATATAAAAAAATCTCATTGGATTTGTATAGATATAAAAAATTATTTTGACGAGTAAGTACCTACCTATATCTTAATATAATATTATAAACTCGAATGTTTGTGAGTATAGATGAATGTTTACAGTAACAATATATGTGTAGGCTATAATAAAAAGATATTATGTAAATTGGGCGAAATATAACGATAAATGTCATGTAAGTGTGATGCGACGAAGTTGCGCGGGTCAACTAGTTTGATAATATTATGTTATTTGTGATATTGGGAAGGCAGCGGTTCTGTTCATGTTTACAAGTGACGTGTTGGACAAGTTTAATGCATGAGTGAATATAGTATGTGATTGAATTATGGATAAGATTCTACTTTTTTAAATTACTCTAGACACTGTGGAGCTTCTTTCCGTAGTTTGTGTATTTTATTATACGACGGACGTTGTCCGGCCCGGTTTGGACCGCTCGTTTCCATGTAATTGCACTGTTGCATCTGATGACATCCTGCTACTCGCCGTACTTTACAACCAAAGTTTCTCGATTGTAATATTCACATATTTACTGAATACTCATCTCACTGTGAAGTTTATACAAATAAAGTACATATCGTTTGCATTTTCTATTAGTTGTAAAATAGCTGACAATGTAGCCATCTTAAGTATAGATGAAAATTTTTTTAAAGAAGTGTTATTTGACATTTTTCACTCAAACTTGCTAAGTCTAGGTTTAAGTACCGAAAGAGTAAAATTTTCCTGTTAGTTACTTTAGTATAGACTGGATATTATTGTTTCATAATTTAGAAATTTGGTAAACGGTAATTTGCTTTTACACTTTCTACTATTATAGATATATAAATCTATTAATAATACAATTATAATAATATGAAATTATAACAAACCAATTAGTTAAATTCCAATGCGGGCAATATATGAAAATATTTTTTAAACTATCTATAATAATGTTCCTACAGTTTCGTATCCAGTGGTTTTTAAAAATTAACTATACAAAAACGTTAGTTGGGAATGCAAACTGTGCGTGATAAAAATCAATTGGACGTGTACTAGAGACTTGGCGATGGTAGTAAGGAGTTAAGTTCCCATTCACATGCATGCACCCCGGGCGAGACGCGCTCGCCCAGACGTATCGTGCATCGCAATGAACCATTATAGAGCCACGATGCCAATAGAGATGTAGCCAACCAGGGATGGCAACCGTACGAGGAACCTCGTACAATTACGAGATTTTTACCTTTAAGTACAAGAACATTTTCATTCTCGTACAATAAAAGCGGTCAAAATACTAAAATTAACGAGATTAGAGAGCCAAATTGAGATAATGTACGAGATTTAATCAGATTTTTTTATTGCTGCCTCCGAAGCTAAGTCTTTTAAGGTTGACAACCCTGCAACCAGCCTTCTAGGAACAAGTGGGCAATTTACAAACTCGATAGTAGGGGAGGGCCGGTCATTACGGGATCGGCAGAATTAATGATTGCCAACAGTCTTTAAACGAAGTGAACACTGACAATACCACTATAAGTGCTATGCCGTTCTGAAGATTTTGCGTTTGTTAATTTATGTCAGTCGCATGAGAGCCTCGGTGGTCTAAAGGTTTAGTATACCACCTTACTTCCGATTGTTGAAGGTTTCGATTAAATATTTGTACGCACGATTCAAACATTTTTGTTCATGAGTATTATTGTTTGTATTGGTGTGAGTGTTATTGTATATTATGAAAAAAAATATTCTTGGATATTGTAGGTGAAATATATTTTAAAATCGGTTAATTATATGTTGAAATGATGGAAAACTGTTATTTTCAAAATGAGATTGACATTACTTAAATGAGCTTAATTATTCTAAATCTCAATCACCATAATTGGGGCCAATTTTATATTAATGTATTTATGAAAACCTCCACAGTTGTAATAACCTCGGTCGAAATACATGCATGCAGTCTCGACCTCTTCAAGATTTTATCATATGTACGTACATTTACGTTTAATTTATGTATATGTGGAGTTTAATTACCATTCTCTTTAAAAGAAATTATAATAAAGAACGTGTTTTGGAGAGCGCGCATTCCCGCCAAAATACCACAATTGAGCGCAGACGCAGCGCAGACGGCGAATTGATAGTCTCGACGCGCACAAATAAACGAAACCAGACAAGCGCATTATCAATATGACGGCTATCGTAAAACTGCAATTTAAATTATTATTTCGCAGCACTAAACGCACATACGTGAAGTTTTATTTTTGAAATTGTAGACGGTTTTATTTTTTTATCGTTTTATATTAAGATTAATAAAAATTGTAATTCAATTATCTTCATGACCAAGAAACAGATATTGGACTGAACTGGTTCAGTTATTTTATTATACATTTAAATGTTATCATAAAAGTTGATATTCAATTTATTTCAATTGTCAATATAATTAATAGAGTCCACTTTGTAATTGCAAGTACCTACCTGGCACGAATTCGTGCGTCCAGTACACCATAAACCGCAATATAATAAATTAATATTAATATCCTATCTAGTATTAAAGCCGCGAGGATTACTGTGTATATGACCATCTATTAAATATCTAAGATTTCTGAGTGCTGCATTCTTAAAACTGAAAAAATATATAAAAAAATATGTATAATATGTAAATATACACACCAACTGTTGTAGCTTCGTAGATTATATTAGAAATCCTCATAATCTTAAGTACTTATCTACTCGGATAAATGGGCTTTACTAAATCGAGTGTGACAAAATTTGGAGGAGTATGAGACTTATGTATGTTTTTTGCATTTTCTGACCTTGACAAGAGTTTATTTTGGGCTTTTGTCCTATTCATATAAGGAGATTTACCTCTTAACTGCTTCATTATTCATCATGCAATGTGACATACCAATATGTAGTGTGTACAATGCAGAAGGAAGTTGGCCACGCGTAGGCTACTTTGTCAATTATAAGTAATAAAAGTTATGTAAAAGAATTCACGGATTTTTAGGATCAAATAATATAAGCCTATCCAAAACCTGTATGGAACAACTGTATGGACAAAATTTGTATGGAATCAACATGGGAGTAAATCGTATATATTGTAAAAATAATAATAAACATAATTTCTGAATACAGTACAGTTAAAATCCTCCTTCCTTACCAAGTTGGTTATAAAATAAACCAACCTACTATCAAGTAATAATTATCAAAAACTACTTATACAGACAAAGGGCTATCAAACCTTGGAGTACGTAGGTACTCGTATTATATCATAAAGATTTATTGGCTCGATACCATTTCTTAAATGACTTCAGCTTTGCGAAATATATAAATTCCCTAGAACTGGAAACAAGGTGTACCCATATTTTAAAACAAGCGATAAGCGTGTCGGGTCGCTGGCTGCTCCGCTCGCGGTCAGGCTTGGGTGCGCCTATAATGAGCCCGTAAACTTTGATAGGGCTTTAAACAACCATTTTGTAGCCAGCCGGTTAGGGATGATCGATATTAGAAGAATATCGATGGCCAACGATGTCGACGTCGATAAATAAGGTGTTTTTTTAGTGATGTCGCAAAAACATGGGTTTCATAAATTACGCATGTCTGTGTATCAAGGGATCCATTAGTAGGTATCATCGTATCTCCTCAACGAAAAATTGATTCTATATCTGAGTTGATGACTCTTAACTGCAATTTAATTTTTTTTTCATATATAAAAGAATATATAATTTTTCTTTTAATTCGAAATTAAAATTATTAATTTTATAATTGTTAAAACAACAGTTCAGCCAATTTTCGATATACGATAAATATCTATTTCAGAAAACATCGGTCTATCCCCATGGCCTATAAGTATTAGTTTTTAGGCAGCAAATAAAAAATCTTATATTTTTGTAAATCGGAGGTATCCTTTTTGTGGCATTTTACTTTTCGGGTCTTGTTTCTTCGTCGATGTTATCTGATGATAGGATTTAAAATATCGATGTCAAAACATCGATATTTTCTCATTAAACATCGACGTTTATTCATCATTGATGAACATCGATCATCCCTACAGTTGGTTGCTAGGTGCCCGTGATAGATGTACACTTGTTACCAGGCGGTCGGCTCGTGAATCATTACTATTTATGCACATGCTTATAGCTAATAATTTTATGATCAACTAATGTATCTTTAATGATAATGATGAAAAACGATGTTGAGATTATGAGACGCGGCGCCAATAATAACGGGCCATTCAAGGCAACCATTTTGTAGGCGATTTTTTTATGTCTTAAAATGACATGACGGTCATCCGATGGAAAATGTCAACAGACGGTTATAGACATGTTCGTCATCATGGACTTCACGCTGTAACGCCCCTGTTACGCCTTCTGCATTGCAATTTCTCAGGCTTTTAGTTTACTGCATTATAATAGACTACCAAAAAATGGCTATTGGTGACAGTTGAGTGAAGATGACAAGAAAGCTTTTTTCCTAAAACAGTGTTTCCTAAACATATTCAGCCACTCTGCCTGGTGTTCTCAAAATACTTAAATTCCTTAATATAATAGAGCAAAAACAGTTTTAAAACACTTATTATATTATTGAATAGTCCAGAGATGATTTGAGGACATACATACATATATATAATCGCATATCATACGTTAAGAAACTCTGCTTTAAAAGTATAAATAGAATTTATAAATCGAAGAACATGTAAATTTTCCGTATTTTCATAAAAAAATGTGTAATTATCGATTGCGCAAACTTTTCTTAATAATTATTTTTAAACTTTCGTGTTTAATATACATTATATATGTTGTTAACCGGGTCTGAGCAGTAATAATTTTATGGTAAATAAAGGTAACCTTTCTCGACGTTTCGGCTAAGTTGCACTAGGCGTGGTCACGAGCTGCCAATTCATTAACAATATAAATAACCTATTTAATATATACCTTGGCAAGGTCCAGGGTAATCAAGAGCAAGATGTTTGGCAGGTCGTCGGCAGGCCCGCCGTCTGAGCCGGCAGAGCGAGGGATAAGTCTTGCCGTCGGTGCCGCAGACTGGGCCGACCCGCCGGCAAGCAGCGGCGCATACACATCTCGCGCGCCCGCCGCGGACTACACACCGCCGCCCGGAGCCGCACGTCACATCCGCGCAAGACTCTGCGAATGGCAACTCCAGATTAGAAGAAGAAGCTAAGCGAAGCTATAAACAACAGTTACGGTCAACAGCATTAAAAAGAAAGAGTAAAGAGAAAAGTAAAAACAGAACTTAATTTTATTATATATAATGTAAATTATTAATACACACTTACTTGTATACCTACAACCAACGGCATTAGAAAAATTGGAAAAAAGTACAGTTATATTTTTTAGTAGCTGTCCGCGTGGAATTTAAATTTATTTTTCCAAAATAAAAGTGGCCTAAGTTACTCCTTATTACATCAGCTACCTGCCAAAAAAGTCCCGTCAAAATCAGTCCAGCCAGTTCAGAGATTAGTCTGAACAAACAGGCAGACAGAAAGACAAAAATAGTAAAAAAATGTTATTTTGGTGTATTTATATTCATATGCATGTAGTAAAAACGAATTTCAATATTACAAACAGACACACAAATTTGGTAAAGTTGCCGGGGCGTGTGATCTGAAGTAAAATGGCCTATGCTTCTATATGAATAGCACTTCGAAAATTATATCATTATATGGCGACCGTAACGTCTCTCCTAAGATGCCATTTCAGAGGATGAAGGTAGGCCTTCATACTCTGCAATTTCAAGCTGTTTGGCGGCAGAAATAGGTGAGACAGAAGTACGACGTACGAACAAAGTCTACTTCAGTAACATTGTACACAATATTGTCATCGTAACAACTGATTAACGTGACGTCCTCCGCTCTCCGTCCTTTGTGATATGAAGAACTTAGTATTTATTTAAGTAGACTTTGTTTGCATGGGTACTTCAGTCTAACTATTCCAGTCTGCACACAGCTTGGTTTGTGAGCTGTTTCAGTTGAAGGGCTTCTCACCCTTCAGGCAGTGAAAAGAGGATAAGAGGCATGACATATTAGCTCTTAGAATAGCATTGGAAAATAGACATAACTAAACTTATAATTATTAATATTATTGAAACGCACTTAGTTATTTAGCATCTCTACATAAGCATTAGCAGACATTATTTCTGTCAAGGCTAGAATATAAACTACGCAAATTGAATAAGTGCATTTATGTAATGTATCTATAACAGCTCTTCCAAGAATATAATAGGTATAATGCACAAAACATTATTCGTGTATTCTTTTAAATCACATTTTTGTCACTGTGCCAAAGTATTTCTCTCGATTTTGTAGCGCGTTGTTCTTCTATCGGACAATGCACTCTAGCCCCAATTATTTGTTATTGTTATTACAATGATGTATCAGTTCATAAAACTATTACAATGATTTAATTAAGGTTTATAATGTACAAGTAGATATATTATGTGTCATAATACATGTAAAATCTCCACTACAAGATTGTTACCCAATAGGTTCTAAAGAAAGATTATTTTAGGACTTAACTATTACAGTGATCGTGCATGTATTTAAATTGAATGATAATCATTTTTGTAGCTATATGTATTATACAAATATGACCAAGTAAGTTCATTGATGAATTTATAATTGTTGGAATATTCGTAAGATCATTTATTTTTAAAGTGGTAAACGTTATTTATCTACCTATACACGCAGATCAATAGGGTATCACATAATATGTTATACTATCATAGATCACTCGTACTCACGTACGTTAAGTAGGTAAAAAATACAATTACTGTAATCACAGGTAAAATATATTATTTTATCTGTAACAATTACGATATTATTATGGTATAGACAACAGAGTAAATAACACAGGTACGTTTTATAAGAGTTGCAATCGTCCTTATAAGAACAGAACCAAGTTTGAATCTGTAATGAATCATACAAAAAAAATTGTACAGTTTCACAATTTGTTTTGTTTTTGTTGAGACATGGGTTTGCATATCCGGATATTACATTTAAAATGAATCTATGTAAATAACTACTGAAAAATATGGCGTATTGAGAACGAAATGAAATGAAAACATTGTCACACAGATTAATAGAAATTTTATTTTGTTACTAGTGACATTAGGCTGATAGACCTTTAAAGGATATACAGATAATAAATACACATAGGTAATATTTTGTAGAATACATCATCATTAGAGTTTTAAAGTCTTGCAATAGAAACATGTTAATGTTCGGTGGTGGGTGGTAAACACATAAAAACGTTGTAAATTTATGTTTTGTAAATTAGACGTTGAGTTGAAAAAATATTTTGAGATGTTATGAATACGATACGATACAGATACGATCTAATATGATTCGGACCACGCACAACGTAGGGCTTCATAGCTTGTTCTATAATAACTACACGTATTTAAACACCGGTGAAGTACTTAATTTGCCTTTACTGTGGAAAGACGTAAATGATATAAGCGGATGTTTCAGAAATCTAGATAGGAATGTAATTCAATCGTCAATGAAATGGTGCTAGTAACCTTACTTATTTACAAAGGATTAATAATGTTTATTAACTACGATTTACGACAAAATAGTTAGGCTTTTTTTGACATAGCGAAGATTTTATTGTTTTATACATTCGGTTTTTTAAATAATTAATTGCAACCTTGTTTTTTATTTCTTAAATATTAATCAAGAATCTGTGTTTCGGTTAAGGCGTGAGATAGAAACAAGAGACATATTATTTACGTGATATCTCGGGTGGCAATCGACGCCTGTTTGATGATATGATATCATCAAACAGGCGTCGATTGCCACTTACTATTAGGTAGACCGTCAGCATGTTAGCCATTACAATTAGATAAAATATTACGAGTTAAAGGTTTGAAGAGTATTTCCTTAGTAGATATATCATACCCACTGTATGGAAGTACTCTTCCGACCTGTGTAATCTAACCTGCGCATGCAATGCAAGGTACGCCTCCGGAGAGTGCTTTGAAGAAGAATATCTCGCCGCTGTCAAGGTCTTGCGGGCTCCAAGCAGCGGGTGAACGCGCGGCGCCCGCGCAGCATTCAGCGCGGCCGACTCGCAACGCTACCACTGAGCTGCATCGCCCGCCACGCTCCATACCCGACCAGCAGATTCCGGCTGTGAACATGAATACTTAGATAGAACTTTATTTGAATAGAAGGACACATACAAAAATAAATGAATTAAGAAGAGATACGAACTAGTAGTAGTGTTGAAAGAGTTTTAGACACAGTCATGGTTATATAAGGTTTTTAAAAACAACGATAGGTTTTCTCTTGTAGTTTATTTTACCTTAGTTTACTGCTAGCTTTGAAAAGATACTTATCATTTTAGTTTACAAATATTTCGTGTGATAGAGAGGCAAACTCTGAGCAGTTCCTCCAGACTATGGGTATAGGTTTATGGGGCCCCTATGCCGTCGTGTACGTCGTCGTGTACTTCAACACTCACTGCTCGGATTTTTCTCCCTGCTCTAGATACATGTTCTAGTATAAAGTGCATTACAGTTCTAGTCATGTCAAGATCTTTTAGAAAATTGTAGAAATAATTCTGCTGGTACACCTCTTCCAATTCGACCTCATAGAAAATATAAACAGCCGTTTTTCGTAAATTACGTTTAATTATTACGTTTAATTATTTTTGTAAATTAAAACAAATAAAACCATTCTGATATATGAAACTGTTTATTGTCATTTCTAGAAGTTAATCCAGAAGGTTCATAAATATAATAGACGCATATGATTATATAACCCGCATTGTATATCCGTGTGTACTCGAGACAGGCCGAGACGCTGAGATGAATACGAACTACGCAGTATATAGCGAGACCGTAACAAAATAAAATAATACAAGTACATGTTTACAAAAATACGCAACGGAAACCGGAATTTGCGTTTACTACAAAATAAAAATGTTCGCTCTCAGACTAAACATTTTATAACAGATGCATGGAGTTCTTAATAGGGTTACCGTTTATTTGTTATTGATTTAGCGGGTACGTACTTCAGTTACTTGGTATCATGAAAGGAAATTAATAAACCCATAGAAACAAACAACATACCATCACCATTATTACCCCGGTTTTTTACGTAGAAGCAAAGTCAATTTGCATCGTAGTGAAAGCAACACTTGACATGTCCACATTTCGTTATTATTGGTATGGTAAGATCTGATTATTACTAATTATAGAGTATCACTATTATTGTTCCAAACAGGAGTAGTCAGAGGTAAACTGCTAACATAGTGGAGAACGCAATCATTTAACATACATGTTCACACATTTCTTTGGGTACCTATATTTGAACCTAACATGGCAGGGTGTCGAGCCTAATATTACTAATAAACGTTTTATTAACGGCTATTTCCATACCAGATTCTCAGTGATAAATATCAATTGTCACACTGTTTTTATTTCAAGTTTCTGTTCTCGGCTAAATTTTAGCTCACCTGATGACCTTTTTTACCCCAAGTAATTCAATAGGCCGCCGTTCTTATAAACTATACAAAAATAATTATAATGAATGTGACATGGTCTTTAGTGAATTTCACTTTATGATGTGTTCATCATCGACCGTTAATTGTTATCTGTGTCAAAGAATGTCAATTGGAGGACGCTGAATGTTGTAAAAATTTTCAATTTGATATAATTTTATATATTTATTTATTAATCTATAGAATTCGTCCACGGTATTTTTATCATGCAATTGAAGCCATTTTTGCACGTTTTAGTGAACAATAATTATATTTTTATCGTATGTCAAGTACACCGCTTTTTCCTCTATGCCTGTTAACTGTACCTACACTTAGGTATTTTAAATTAATAAACATAGTAAAATGGATTGATTATATTCACTAAGAACCGCGTATATCTATACATATTTTCAGAGATTTTATTGAAGTACAAATATATAAAAGTATTGTACACCGGAATAGTGGTAGCTTTTTCGAGTTTGCTTGTTCCAATTAAAAAAAATCAGTGTGGGGTTCGTCCATGGTTTTTCTATGTATAATGGTCGTCCTAGTTGTTCTATTCCTAACAAAGTTTTATATCAGGTTGACCTTTACGCGGTCTCCTCTGGAAACCTTCGTGGTTAACTTCTAATGACTTAATGTATGCAGGTGCTCCGCCGCCGCGCCGCTTTAGTGAAGTAGGGTGCATCAGTCCATATAATAATTGTCTTATCCACTTGCTTTTTACAAGTAATAAGCTTTGAAATAAGAAAATAAGTGAACAAATTTTTACTTAAATATTATATAATTACGTAAAAACGTCGTTTCCTCAAAGGATTAGCAACAAGTAAAGGATCTCTAAGAATGTGAACTAAAATTGTGAACAGGTACTTCGGTTGTACGAATTTGTCCTTCCATGTACGTCTCTATTTAGTAGAGCTATATTTGAAATTAATTATGTACTATTTTATTAATATAATTGGAATTTGGTATAGTAAATTTCATTCCGAACCGATCGTAATGAAAGAAATATATTTGTATTGTAATAAAGACTTCGTTACCTGTATGTTTGTTATGTTTCATCACAATAACCTTAGTAGGTAACCCTATTAGAGAAAGATTGGAGGCGTAGCGACTCCGTATTCGGTTGGATTCCAGCGCGTGAGTCACGGTCTCGGGGCATGCGCTAGACGTCGGACAGACACTATTTTTCAACACCGGCTGTCTCGACCGACCCAACATGGTCATAACCCGATATTTGCCGATTCTTTTTTGTCGAATAGACTTTTTTTCGGTGTGTTTTGTGGTAAATACCGTCTAGAATGGCGCATCGCCGCTTCATTACGATGCATGGAATTTTTCTCCGTTATCGTTGGCTTGCACCTCCTTTCAATATAGTGTGAAATTGTGAATATGAAGCAATAAATTTATGTTAATTTGAAAAAGGAACTTTATAAGTTTGTATTCAAATTGGATACTCTTTTAACCCAGTATAAAGAAATAATAATACGAAAATGTGTTAAATTCAGTTTAGAATTTACCTCATTTTCATGTTAAATATAAAATTCAATAATATATAGAAGCAAACAATATTTTTTATGTTAACACATTCTTATATTTTGAACTAATATCTAACTTATACATGTTACTGCCGTAGAAAGTGTCTGAATTTATTTTTATATTTATACATAACTGCTTTTATACATAGCAGTATAAGTTTCGTTTATTCTTTGTATGACAATAAATAAATTTATGAAATAGTTTAAACATTTTTTTTCGTGAGTAATTTAAGTTCTAGTGTATGCATATGTAAGTACTTACCTACTGAGTTTGATTTTTTTTGCTTATTTGTCTTTTGGCTAAAAGTATTATATCAATATTTGTTTATATCGTTATTAGATGACGTGCATATACTGTTATTAAAAATAAATATTAAATATATTTCGTATTTACGTATCTTAGTTATACTACCTATATACTGTAAACAAGTAAGTGATAATAAAAATGACGTTTTAGAATTGTAAGTGTATTAGAGTGTTGATATGTAACCCAATGTTAGAAATGCAAATAAAGTTGAATATGATTTAAGTGGCGGACGAAGCCGAGCGCGGTTGTTGACCCTAAGAATGTAATATGTATCTTTTTAATTAAATTTTTATTCTATCAAACAACTTTCTAAATAAAACATCAATATTAATACGAATACAACTGTCGAGAGAGTTATAACGATTTATATAAAAAATGTGCCTATTGTACCTAATTAAAATTTGTAAGCGGTTAAGATATTTTTATCCAATACAGTTTTATATGAATCATTCATTAATGAGATATAAACGATACAGATACATATTTACTTCATTTACCTCTTCATCATTCACATGGTTCTCAAAACACTGTTCGTTTTAATGAAATCTATAACCATAATCCTGAAACATTTTGTGACACATTAAAGTACGTCTATGAAGTTGTTTCAAAGCATCGTGAAATTATGTTTGCAGTCCGAAAAGCTTCATGAGATAGACGATGAAATTAATGTCATAAAACTATGTATTTTGTAGAGTTCATATGATTTTTAAAGTTCTCATATACTGTCAAATTAAAAAAAAATGGGAAACGTTTTTTACAAGTGGGTAAGTTGGATGTAATAATTAAATTTACACAGATCACATTATTTATATACGTATATTTTTAATTTTATTATATATTTTATTTTCTCAACTAACAATAAATGAAGAGTTATCTGCACTTTACACTCACATATAATTATAAGTATTGTTTTTATATGTAAGCATTATGTAAATAATGTTCAGTAAGTAATGCAGCAGCATTATATTTTTATTAGAATTTTATTACAATACAAAAAGTGGAGACGAAAAGAGCAACCCATAAACGAAAATCGTATCTAATGTACATTACTCCAGTTACTGCAGGTTGCAATTAATTAATTCAAGCAAATATAGAGACGTGTTGTCAATTAATTAGTGGACTGGATGGACATTACTTGATTGAACGAAGCTGAACCTTTTTCTGTAATAGTAGAGCAGAGGTTGCATTACAACGTAACATATAGGCACAGATAACATAATATTATATAGGTAAAGTGGAGCCCATGGCCCCCGCTAGCTTGTCACACCTTATTGTGTCATAAATAGATATATAGCTGTGACCGTGGATTCACCCGCATGACATTTGACCTTATGTGTCATTCTTATGTTTAAGTAGGTACTGTAAAGTTTCCTAAAAATCCGTTCAGTCGTTTTGGCGTGGAAGAGTAACATCATCATCATCATCCATCCATGTGTCTGTCTATCCATACTCATAAACTTTCGCGTTTATAATATTCTTAAGATGGTCTATAGGATAATACATATTCAACTTGTAACTTGTAAAATATGAGTATAAACGTAACTTGTATACGAAAAACAAATATAAACGATACAGATACATATGTATAATATTTTACTTTAGGCTACATGAGCTAGCTGAATTGCCGTTTCAAAATAATCTATGAGAGCAAACTTTAATTTAGTTATACTCAGCTCGCACTCGGAACTTGTCAATACTGATAATAAAATGTAAACATGGATGGCCCCTGTTGATAATTATTCTTGGGGAATAGCATTAGAATTTCTATGTATACATTGTACACGTACAAATATTATGGCCAT